GGAGTCTTTTGAAAATTTGTGCTTTGCCCGCAGCGTTGTTTACAATTTTGAGTTTTTCTGTTTTTATTATTTTCCATATTTTGATTATTCCCACCTTTTCCAACATCTGCTTCACCAAGTAATTCATTTTGGTCCACATCATCCAAAACAACATCTTCACCTTCCAAAAGTTCATCTTCATTTTGAAAATCTACAAAATTTTCAGAATGTTTATTTTGATTATTTCTGTTTAATCCAGCCGAATCTCGGACATTCCCGTTTTCAAAATAGGAATGGTCCTGTAAATCTTCAGCCCGATGAGTTGGTTCCGAGCACAAGCTTTTACTTTTTGATTTAGCTTGGGCGTTCCTCCCGTTTTGCCTATCCTTATTTATAAAATCCATAGCCTCCAGGTTGACCTCTATTCCGTCCTCTAACAGTTGTCTAATCCTACGTCGGGTCAACATTCCCTGATGATCAGTTCCACTATTCATTTTTTAATCAACTATGCCAAATAGTGAAAAAAAAATATTTCCAAAGTATTCTACCACCAAGGTATTTTTAATTACCACAAAGATAATTTGTTTATCGATTGCTTACTTAGGACCGCAAAGGTCTTTAAGTCTTTTCTCACAAAATTTGTTTTGGCTTCTTTTTCCTCAAATTGCTGTATGGAAGTAAATTTTAATTGGAATTTCAAATCAAACCGCAAAGGTTTTTTGAATCTAGTTGGGAGTATTTTAATCAAAAGACGATGTATAAACCACAAAGGTTTTTAAACAAAAATCCAAGGAAAATGTCTTGTGATTCGGCTTTTTAAAAAATTTAATACTCACCCTCTTCCAGGAGCGCCATGTCAAATTTATTTGGGGAAGCAGGAGAATTTATTTGAATTAAATTTAATTTAAAAGAATCAATACGAAATTAAAGCAGACCACAACTTTTATTTTTATTTTCACAAATTTTAATAAATTATGAATGAGAAGGTAAATGAACAGAAATGGAACATTTATGGGGAGGAGAGAAATGCTTTTATAGCACGGAGTCACATAAAAAGGGGAAAATAACGAAATGCATAAAACGACAAAAGGGTACATTTAAAAGGGGTCAAATTAATTAAATCCATTTTTTGGTACGACAATTTCTGTCTGGGCAAAACAGTTACCTCAACACAAAATTTAAAAAATACTTTTTGAATTAAATTGTGAATAAAAATTAAAAATTCTAATTAATATATTTTTGTTTTTTCTCAATCTAATTTCCCAACCCTACTCTTCACATTGGATTGACATAGTTTTTTTTCAAATATTGTGGAGAAAGGACGCCTATCTTCTCAGTAAAAATGTCTGGGTCACAATGATGTAAATTCTCCTATATTAAACTTAAAAACAAGAATCATTCACTGATAAACTTGATTTATTTAACTTTACTTTTAAGTTCATAATCTACTCTTTCATTTGAAGTTGTGACTTATTGGGGGGTTTTAATAAATTTTTTTTTATAAATATAGGTATTTTCAAAACATTTTTAGCTGGTTAAATCCTGCCATTTATTTTTAAATATTTTTAAAATATAAAAATTTATTAATCTTTTAGGTCTTCAAAAAATGTTTTATTCTTTACCAGCAGAAACAAAACTTGATATTTTAAAATTCTTCAGCTATAAAAAATTATGTTCAATTAAACAAACAAATTTGTATCTTGGTGCTTTTATTAATAATTTTGAAGAGGAACTTGCTAGGGAGAAATTATATTATATTTATATAGTAATGGGTTTTAATTAATCTAATTTTACGAAATTTTAGAATAATGTCGAACGATTCGAAAAAGAACCTCATAAATTAGTTAATCCTAGAACTATAAATTTTGATTTTCCATTGAATGAACAACTTGAAGAGAAGGTCAATTTAAAAAGCTATAAAATTAAAAATTTCATTCCTTTTTAGTGGAAAAATGGACTAGAAACCCCAATTCCTTTGTATTTGCCTAATCAAGATTTAGATAGCAACATTGTTGATTGCTTGTCTAAAGGTTAAATTTTGTTTAATAAAATTTTTGAGTCAACCTCAGTTTGCGAGTTTATAAAGATTTAATGCAGCCGTAAAACACCTTGTCGTATAAATTCTCTTAGCCTCTACTCTACAAAGGGGAAATGCAATCATTTTTCAGCCTCAAATTTTATCTAATAACTTTCGTGAACTTTTCTTTTTCGGTACATAAATTTTGTTGTGAATAAAGCGTTTCCATTTTCTTTTAATTCAAAATTTTTAAGTTTGCGTTGGCAAGTCCCCTCATCCTATTATTCTACAACTACCAACAATTATTAAAAGCAAAGAAGACGTAAAAATTGTTTATTATTATTTAAATAAATTATTTAATTGTTCTTCTAATTATTGCTACTTTGAAAACTTTATATTCAATCCAGAATTACTTCAATTATTATTTGGAAGAGTTCCCAAACAAATTTATGTTCGAGAATGCGAACTATTTATTAATGACTATAATATTGAAAATATATTTAAATTTGCTTTAAATACTTTAATCAGCGAAACTCTCTATATTTATTTTCCTTTATCTAAAGAAATTATAGAGAAATCTAAAGATGATTTATTTAAATTTTTAATAAATGGGGGAGTCAATTTTGAAGTAGTTGAGTTGATATTTAATAATTCTCCAGGAATTGTGGATGATATTACTATAAATGTACAGATACTTTATAATCGTCTTATCGAAGTTTATTTATGCAAAATTTAAAAATAAATTCAAATTTAAGTATATAGCAACAGCTAGAGATTATTCAAAAATGTTGCCTTTTATTATTTTTATTTTCTCCAATTCCACAAGTCTTAAATTAAGTGAACGGGCCGAAAAAGTTGAAATTAAACAATCAAATATGTACAAATGTACAAAATACCAAATTGCAAATATACACAATACAAAGATTAGATTTTCATTTGTCGTTGAAGAAGAATTGGATGGATCAACTTATGTTGAAATTAGAGAAATGAAGGCCAAACTAGAGCCAAAATTTATTCAATAAGTTTTTCGGAAAATCTTTCAAAAAATTTTTTGCTGAAATTTTAATCTAAAAACTAAAAATATTAAGTAAATGTTAAGTAAAATGTGCATAAAATTATTTAAAAAATAAATAAACAGACTACCGTAAATTCTCTATTAGAATGGCCGTCTCTATTTGAATGGCCGTCTCTATTTGAATGGCCCTCTCTAATAGAATGGCCCCCCTTTTTTATGATCAAATTTTTTCAAATATGAAAGGTTAATTAATTTTGAGCGTTTTTCATAAATTTTTCTTCCTTGCAATTTTATTAGGGTTGTGGTTTTCGAATTATCAAGGTTGGGTTTTCAATTTTATTAATGTTGGGGGTTTTTTCGGGCTTTTTATCAGGCTCACATATACAGAACTCACCATCTACCACTGAGCTACCAGGGCATCGACTAATGCTTCCTCTTTTTTTAGATCGTTTAACCCCCGCCTAAGCGTTTTAAATCTCTAGGTGAATCATCCTTACATAATCATCTTCATCGCTTAATAGATTTATATCAAACTCATATTTTTTTAAACAAAAGCTTTTTTCTAACATGAAAGCTTTTTTCTTTTCTAACAAGGAAACATATCCAACTCAAATCAAAAATTTCTAACCCTTATAACTTTTGAAAAGAGGGTCAGGGCAAAAAATCTCGTATGGCCCTACTTGTAAAAGATAGGCCCGAAGGTAACTTATAAAGGCCCGACTTGATAAGAACAAGCCCGAAAAAATGCCCGACCATCGGTCGGCTCGAAAATGTGGCGACTCTGATTATTGCAGGATGAAGACAATTGAATAATTCTTTGGAAATGTAAAAAATTTTGATTTTGTTGCTGCAAATTTTATAAAATTATAAGCTTTTCTAGTGGTAAAATTTTTTAAATTACTATCGAAAAATAGAATGGCCGTCTCCAGTTGAATGGCCGTCTCTAATAGAATGGCCCTTTGGAAGGTGATTGAAAAATAGAATGGCCGGCCATTCTATTAGAATAAATACGGTATATTTTTATAAAATCTTGTTTTTTCATTCACTTTTTCTATTAAATTTTTTTATAATTTATTGCATTTGTTTTTCTTGATAAAGTTAAAAATAGGGGAGTTAAGATATTCAAAAATCAAAATTCCCTTTTTTTAGTGCAAAAATGGATTAAGAAATCCAACTCCGTTGTATTTCCCTGAGCAAGATTCAAACAACAATATTGTTATTTGCCTACCTAAATGTTTAATTCTTGCTGTATTGTTTCAACAAATTTTTGAAAAAAGAAAGAAATAAAACATATTTTATTAAAAAGTCAAATTAAACGAGATAAATATTAAAATGGATTTTCCGAATCCGCCCAAAACCTGTTTTTGTATTTTTTAAAATAATCCATTACTGAAATGTCGAAGAAAGCATAAAAATCAGGGCGAATCAAATTCAGTAATCAAAGGTAAGATATGAGATAAACAGAGAAAATATCAATTGTTTAATTAAATTTGTTTAATTTCTATATCGATAATTTTGCCTTGACCTTTCCAATATAAAATAGAGAATTTAATTTTTGGATTATATTTGTTGGAAATTTGGTATTTTGTTATTGAAAGATCATCATCCCCTCGTTCTTCAATATTTTCAGCTCTTTCATGTAAAATAATTTTCATATAAACACAAGATAATCCAATAAAATCCACCATTTTTGAGCAATCTTTTGTTGTTTCAATAAACTAAAATGAAAGAAAAAATCAGATTTGGTAAAATTTCGGGTTATGCGACCCTTTTTACATTTCTTCCACAATTCCCTCAACTTGCCCAAGAGAGGAGAAGGGCACGCACAAAGATACATACTGAATTCCCTTTTAACAGTGCCTCTTGTCATGAATCACCAGTTTAAACAATTAGAACCCTGACCACAGGCTAGATCCATAGATGTTTTTAAGGAATTAAGGCTCCCCCTACTTAAAAAGGGGAGCCACAAAAATATCCTTTGACCAATTTTTAATTTTCGAGAAGAGAAAAGAAGGAAGAAGGCAAGACAAAATTTGCGAAAAAACCTTTGCGGACTTGTGAGAGAGATAAGACTAGTACCCCAAAACTTACATTCATAGCAAAATCAAAAAGATCAAAAAATTTATTCGAAGTTAAGCGAACTCCTTTAAACTTGTCTCCATTCATTAAAATTGAAGATAAAATATTTATAGTTTTTGTTTTGTCTTTATCTGGACGAAAACTAAGTTGCATATAGTCAGTAATAATCAAATGATTCAAAGCAAATTTTAAATGATCCCCAACATTGCAATCCAAAAACAGCCAACAATTTTGACTATAAAATTGTTTAGGAGCATTTTCAAATAACAACTCGATCAATTCTGGATTGAATATAAAATCTTCAAAGACGCTCGATTTAAAAGCACATTTAAATAATTTATTTAAGTGATTATAAACAATTTTGATGTCCTCTTTGCTTTTAACAATGTTTGGCAGTTGAAGAAGATAAATAGTTTTACAGAAACCTAAATAAGTTTTAATAAGAGAGAACATGTAAACCTTTCGAAGTCCTCAAAAATATTAAACTGCCAAAGTCGATGCGTCCAATAAATTTTTATGCGTCAATCAATAACGTAAGTACCCGGTTTTCACATGAGTTCCATAAAATTAATAGGAATAGCTAGCTCTACTCACCCAGAGTTCTTGTGGACCATAGGATCTAGCGCACAAACAGAGTACTTATCGCCATAGATTGACGCATGAGTGCGATTGGACAAAAACGTTGGACGCGTAATCTGTACAAAAGCAAAACCTTACCTCTAGTTAAGGTAATAACAACATTTTTTGTTTCTTGATCAGGAAAATACAAAGAAATTGGTTTTTCTAATCCATCTTTAAACTAAAAAAGAAAAAAAATCTTAAAATATTTTAATTTTGATTACCTTCTCTTCAAGCTCTTTATTCAATGGAAAACCAAAATCTTCAATTTCGAGTTTAATTAATTTACGAGGAACATCATCAAATAAATCGCAATCATCCTTAAGAGAAAAATTTTATAAAAAATTTAACTAAAAACCGTTAAAATCTTAATGCAATGAAATTCTTCTCGAGCAAGTTTATCTTCAAAATTCTTAATAAAATCATAAAAATAAAAATTCGTTTGACTGATTGAACACAATTCTTTATATTTGAGACATTTAAAAACATCAAGTTTTGTCTCGATTGGTAAAGAATAAAACATTTTCTTCGAAAAAATTAGATAAAGCACTAAAAATATAGTTAAAAAATTATTTAGAAATCTAAACAGTTTGTTAGGTACTAAACTACAAAATCTTAGCACTAACAAAAGAATAAACGAGATAAGACAGAAACTAGAGTTGCACGAGATCGAGATTTTAGAAAAAATCCGAGACCGAGATTGACCGAGACTCGCATGACCGAGACCGAGACCGAGATGCAAAATTTGACCCGAGACCGATATCGAGATCCGAGATAAACCGAGATTCTTCAAAACTTTTTTATATCCACCAAAACCCAACCAACTCAACCAATCCACGCTTTTCATCATAAGAAAAGCGTGGAATTGAAGGAACTTTATTATCTTTTTATAAAAAGTCCCTTATTCGCTTAAATGTAGGGCGCTGAAAAAGGACGCTGAAAAAGGAGGAAATCTGGTTCTTGGCCTTCTAAAATTCTCAAAATTTTTGCCTGAGCGCAGAAAAATTGAGTCTTAATTATGTCCATTTTTTACGGGTCCCAGAGACTGTCTAGACAGCTAAATTAAAATGAGTCACAACAATATGCCGATAGCGAAATTTTAAATATTTTGTCAAAATAAAAATAAATCTCAAGAAAATCAATCTTTAGGGGTGTATACTGATCTCGGATCTCGACGAGATTAAGTGCCGAGAATCTCGTCTCGGTTAGGTGGTCTCGTCTCGGCAAAACCGAGACCGAGATTGGAAAAAGACCGAGATTCTCGTCTCGGTCTCGGTCGAGATATCGATCTCGCGCAACTCTAACAGAAACTAACAATCTGTTCTATAACGATATAAACATACAATAACAATCTAGGTACAATAAGAAACAAAATACAATAAAAGAATAGTAACGGAATAACCCTAAACTACCCAAATTAAATACTAGAATGGCTTTTATACTAAAGACTACGGAACAAATAAACAAATGCTACCCTCGTATTTTATCAGATCGCTTTAGTATACCACCTTGGGGTTAATACATATATGTTGTATCATATAGTGAAGTGTGTCCTACATAGATGTTTGATTTAGTATAAAAGCTCTCTAGAGTTTACCATGGCCTCATTATTAATAAAGTTTTATTCTATTTTGTCTCCAACAATATTCTTATTGTACCTAGATTGTTATTGTTTATTTATATCGTGATTAAGTTTGTTAGTTACTGTCTTATCTCGTTTATTCTTTTGTTAGTACTAAGAAATCAGTGATTAGTAGCTAACAAGCTGTGTAGATTTTTAAATAATTCTTTAAATTTTAATTTTTAGCAATTTATTAAATTTTCTTAAAAAATGTTTTATTCTTTACCAACTGAGACAATACTTGATATTTTCAAATGCTTCAGTTATAAAGAATTACGTTCAATTAAACAAACAAATTTATATTTTTACGCTTTTGTTAATAATTTTGAGGGAAAACTTGCTCGGAAGAAATTATTTAAAATTTATATTGTAATGGTTTTTAGTTGATTTTAAATAAAATGTGTATTTTCTATTAAGGGAGATATCGAAGGAGTTCCTCATAAATTATTAAGGCCAAAAACGAAATATTTTGAATTTCCATTGAATGAGCAACTTGAAAAGAAGGTAAATTATCTAAAAATTTAAGGATTTGCTTTCTTTTTAGTTTAAAAATGGACTAGAAAAACCAATTTCTTTGTATTTGCCTGATACAGATGTCGCTGAAGAAAACACAAATGGGGTTGCGGCGCGACAGGTGTGAACCGCAGTTGTCGGGATTGAATTAGACTGTCCCGGGAAGCCCTAAATTCTTCTTCAGAAAGTGGTCCAACTCTCTAGGGGCGAGTGGACGGAACCAAAGCTCTTTATTGACGAGCTATTGAAGTTGCCTAAGGGCGGCAAAGGAATACCAAACAAAAAAAAGGAAAGAATAATCAAATTAAAATATTTATTCAGAGGGACCTCAAACTTAAACTTGGGTAATTAAACCATAATTAAAATGAGTGAAAAACTTAAGTTTGGCCAAAGTATTTAAAAGTGAATTGAATGGATTTAAGGCCAAAACCTAAGTTGGAAAAGTAAATAAATAAGGCGCAGGTGGGGAAAAACTGTGAATAAATGTAGGAGAAATACACAGAGAGAATTAAAGCTAAAAATAGCTAAAAACTTAAAAAATGAATAAAATGATTAAAATAAGCATAGGAGAAACGATCACAAATAAAAATGGGGTTAGCACAAAAGGGTGTGGCTAACAAAAGAGATATGGGCAACTGGTACAAACGATTAAATAAATAGACGGTGCAAAAGATCACCAAATAAAACATCAAAAATATTTAAATATATTCTGGCAAACGTCGCTTCGGCGACACTGGGGCGCCGGCCACTGGCGACGAGCATGCCATTCGTTTGAATGCCCATTGTTGTGGTAAAGCATATTGATTCTCCAATGCCTATTGAGTTCTCTGTGGGTTCTCCTTGTATTATACTCAGGCGGTAAATATTTTTCCCCTTGATTTTGGTTGCGAATAGAGTCGCATAGCGCGGATTGGAGTTTGAAATAAAGCGGAGAAGATTGCAATAATGAATTGGATTGCGGAGAACACGATTTTGACCTGCGTGATACTCCAATAGATAGAAGTAGAAGGAATAGCAGTCCCGATCATGATAAAGTTCCAGAATTGACGGGAGCATTCCGCTTTATTAAACAGTTGCCGGCGCAGCACAATTCTAAATTGGCGAATTCGCTGGGGCTGATTATTGTAACTCCTTTCTTAGTACATGAAATTTGACACTTTGGGCATGTCATATTAATTTTGGGCGATCCATTGATGGACGCAAACCAGAAGATTAATAATGCCACGTATAGTAGGGTAGACACGAGTGCTCTCGATTTGTTCCTCGTTATCATTCGATGTCTGGTGTTAGTCTTTGGTTCCCGCACGGAAGTTTCTTGAGTTCCTTCGGCAGCGGTGTCGACTTGAGGTGGGACAATAAACTCTTGTTCGGTTGGTTTTATTTCTAGATGGTACACGCTATTGACTGGACGCGTGACAATGTTGCCATTTTGCATTTTTATTTTTACACTCCTGGTTGCTCCAGGTTTCCCTCCTAGTTTGACAATACGTCCCATGGGCCATAGATTCTTTGGATTATATTTATCTTCTACAATTAAAACTTCTTCAATCCTTGGGGCGGATTGGGTTCCTGGTCTCTTTCCTTTATGGGCGGTCTGAGTCCTGGACTGAAGTAGAATAATAGGACGAGCTAATGTCGGGCGCTCGATTCGTTGCATAAGTGGTTTGAGAGGAAGTAAACCATTTTGAGCGGCAGTTACTAGTGGGTAGTGCTCAATCTCGTTTATGTTTTGCTGTTGCGCAATTTTTATGAAAAGGTGGCCATCGGTTAGAAAGTCGTTTGCGGAGAATGCGGTGTTTTCTCTTCTAGAGGCTTGAGAAATAGAGAGAAGCTCGGAGCGGCGATTCTTTATAAGTAAAGAAGGTTCGCGGCCAGGTTTGATGAATTTAGATTTTAGAAAAAGAAGAACCCAAATGGTAGTTCTTATTTTATCCCATGAATTAAATCTCCCATTATCGATTAGGGTGTTGGGTATTTGCGACTCAGCGGTGGAGTCGGGATTGGTTAAGGTTCTGATTTCCTTGGTGCGGTTTGCTATAAAGACCGGTTGGTGGTCCACATCTTGAAGCCAGCTAAGGGCAATGGTTGAGTCACCCCAAATGAAGGTTTTATCTAGTTCCCGGTATAATTCCATTTGGACGAATTTGGCTTCTCTAACTCCCGCTAGAATTCCGAGTAGTTCTAATCGAGGTAGGGTGAGTTTCGAGTTTGCTTTCAATTGGCGCAAACGATTTTTTGAGAGGAACAAGGCGGTTCGCTCCTTTGAAAGCTGATGCCTATTGGCGGCAGCTAGGATGTACGGGGAACTAATAATCCCAAATGCGATTCCGAATCGATCGACGGCTAAGTTGGACGGCGAGAGAGGTTGGTCCAAGTTTTTTAGCCATAAGAATTTACAGAATTCTCGATCATTCTCTATGAAGGAAATTTGAAGAAAAGCCCTTTTGATGTCGGCTAAAACGGGGATTTTGGTTTCCCGAAAGATGAGTAATTGGTTAATTAAATTCGGAAGTAAAACTGGTCCTCTAAAGAGTGATTGATTGAGTGAGGGAAGTCCTTTTAGATGAGCGATTGCATCGTATGATAGGCGGACTTTCCCTTTATTAAATACTGCACGGTGTGGAAGGAAGTGTTCCGGTGCGTTTGGGTTGCATAATGCGGTTTCAATTACTCCTCGTTTAAGTTGGTCCTCTATTACGTCATGGTATTCCTGGGCTATTGTGGGCGCCCCTTCTATTTGGTTAAATACTGAATATAGGCATTTGGCAGCCATATCAAAATTGGAAGGTAATTCTAATGAGGATCCGGAAGTTCCTTTTGGTGATTTCCGAGGAAGTCCGGCCGTGTATCTCCCGTCATGGTCCTGTGTGATGGACTGTTCGACTAATCTATTGGCGATTTCGTCGTCCTTATTTTCGGGGTTGGCGGTAATACCCATGGACTGTAGGTTCCCAAATTGCTCTATTTCATTACTAGCAGGCATTTCTTCCGGTGAGCTGTGCACGGCAGAAAGAGAAATGCAGGTTAACGAGGTAGGTGAAATGTAGTGGGGTAATTCACCGCAGAGCATCGAACCAAAATGAGTTTTGATAATATGTAGATTTCTACCTATTTTCCTGGATCCGAGGAAGAATCTCCAGAACTCTCTAACTCCTAGTAGAATTTCTGGTTCCCTATTTTTGACGGGAATATTTTTGAGGTCTCGGTGGTTAGTAGGGATCCGAATTCCATCCCATTGAATACACGGAAATGCAGGGACGATTTGCGGAATTGAGCAAAATACAACTTCTTCCCATCTCCCATTGGGCTTATGGAGCCTAATCTTGTGTCCGGTTGAGCGAAATTTGACTTTATCGGCGCCAAAAACGCGTACTGAGTGATTGGAGGTAGAAACCCTCGGTGGTCTTAAACGGTCGACCAAAGATTGAGAAATGTAGGAAGTTTGGGAGCCGGTGTCCCAGAGACCAACAGTAGTGTAAATTGGTCGATTATTCCCAGAGCTTAATTTTAGTTTGCAGGTCATCAGAAAGGTATGCGGTTTAGACCCGGTTGCGGTCATAGTCACTTCTGGGTTGGCGGGAACATTCTGGTTTGTTCCGGGTTGATTTTCAGAATTCGTTCGCGAATTTGTATAAACTTGCGGCGGTCGGTGAGTCAGACTATTAACCGGTGACAAGTTTTCATTCCCTCGAAAATAGTCATTTTGCTCGTTAGTTGCGTGACTAATAGCTCTTTTGTTTTGCTTCCCTTTTTGGCGGGTGCAGATAATAAAGTGGTGCTTGCCGCTACAATTTCTACATCTTTTGGTCGATGTGCATTGGCCGATTTTATGCCCTTCGCGAAGACAATTTAAACACCTGCGTTGAGCCTGCAAGCGGGTTTTGCGGCTTTCGGGTGTTGGGAATTTGTGGCACACTGAAGGGAGGTGATCTCCATTACAAAGTGAACATTGGCCGACATTCCTTTCAATGACTGTGAATGTGCGGGTAAAGTTGGCTGGCGGAGAATGTGCTGGCCTATGACTCTTTAGTTGGCGAGTCGGCTCAATGTCTTCCCTTTGACTGGACGGGACTTTAAATCTCTTTGTGCACATTTCCACTTCTTCTCTTATTGCCACTTGCTCTAATAGGAAATTCCTAAGTTCCCTATGTGTCCATTCCCCGGCTGGTGAACTTCGTTCCTTTTCTATTATTTTCTCAATAATGGTGGAGGGAAGTTTGGCCTTAATTGTGGTGACTAGTAGAGACGCGTCTTCTTTTGTGCTGAAATTACATTCTAATTGCCTGCAAATTCTTTCTATTGTGTCGCAAAAGGCGCGAAGTGAGTCAGCGGTGTCCTTTGTTGGTTGTAATTGGAGAAGCTCTGATTGGAGGGCCTCTTTAAGGTTGCGGGTGCTACCAAATCTCCCTTTCAAACATTCTACTATGATCGGGTAATTTTCGGCTATTCTCGGGTATCCTTGGATTGTTGATTCCGCTGAACCCATGAGTGAATTGCATAAATGGTGGATTTTGAGCGCGTCTGGTATGTTTGGGTTGTTGTGGATGGCTAATTCGTAGCATTGCCAAAAACTAGTCCATTTTTCAGGTTCCCCAGAAAATTTCGGAATTTCCATGGGAGCGATTTTGAATGAGTCGTATGCTGGGTTGCGCGGTAATTGATGTTGGTATGCCCGCTGGGAAAGCTGCGAGTGTCTGGATTTTATGGAAGCGCTCCGTGATCTGTTCCTTGACTGGAGATTGCCGGAAGTGCTCTCTCGCTCGGCTATTTCATCGATTGTGTCGATGAGAGCCCGGGCGTCGGCGACCCATTCAGTAAAGTGCCGGTAATCTTCTAGTAGGGGGTCATTTGGGCCCGGACGTTGAAAGCTCTCATATATTCTTTCCTCCTCGGGTAGGTTATCCGGATCAATTTTTTTCATAAATTCTGCCCACTCCCGGTTTAAATTTTCTATCCTTACGGTATTACTTGCCAACTGCTTGCGAAGTTTGTGTAGTAGTTGGAGTTGCTGTTCTTCTAACACCTCTTGTTGGGCGGTGATGACGTTGGTAGCTTCGTTGATGTTGGTTTTGAGTTGTCTGATGGCTGGGACGATCATTCGGCGGATTGGTCCCGACGACATGTTGAATGAAATTATGTAGATTTGTTGAGTTGTGACGGTAGATAGATGAGTAGTGTAGACTGTAGAGTTGTGATGGTTGAGAAGTTCTGTAGTTGAAGATCTAATTGGGCGATCTGGTGAGTGTAGAACTGATGAGTCGAATTGAAGTGTCGACAGAAGAAGTAGTGTTGAGTTGGCTGGAAGTTGCCTGTCGGTTGAAAAACAGAAGAAAAATTTAATTTAAATTAATTAGAAAATTTGATGAAGATAATGAAGAGAAGAGAAGGGTCCCGGGTCGTGGCACCAAAAAGTTTGTCGCTGAAGAAAACACAAATGGGGTTGCGGCGCGACAGGTGTGAACCGCAGTTGTCGGGATTGAATTAGACTGTCCCGGGAAGCCCTAAATTCTTCTTCAGAAAGTGGTCCAACTCTCTAGGGGCGAGTGGACGGAACCAAAGCTCTTTATTGACGAGCTATTGAAGTTGCCTAAGGGCGGCAAAGGAATACCAAACAAAAAAAAGGAAAGAATAATCAAATTAAAATATTTATTCAGAGGGACCTCAAACTTAAACTTGGGTAATTAAACCATAATTAAAATGAGTGAAAAACTTAAGTTTGGCCAAAGTATTTAAAAGTGAATTGAATGGATTTAAGGCCAAAACCTAAGTTGGAAAAGTAAATAAATAAGGCGCAGGTGGGGAAAAACTGTGAATAAATGTAGGAGAAATACACAGAGAGAATTAAAGCTAAAAATAGCTAAAAACTTAAAAAATGAATAAAATGATTAAAATAAGCATAGGAGAAACGATCACAAATAAAAATGGGGTTAGCACAAAAGGGTGTGGCTAACAAAAGAGATATGGGCAACTGGTACAAACGATTAAATAAATAGACGGTGCAAAAGATCACCAAATAAAACATCAAAAATATTTAAATATATTCTGGCAAACGTCGCTTCGGCGACAACAGATCCAAACAAAAACATTGGCATTTGTTTGTCTAATAGAGGTCAAATTTTGATTAATAAATTTAATTTTTGTCTATCTTAATCAATAGTAAACAGTGCTGGGAATATTGAAATTCGGGCACTTTATTAATATTAATTTTCGTTTTTATTTTTCCTACTTCGGAATGGTTTCCCAAAAAAGGGGAAAACTTGGAAACAATTTTCCAATAAGATAGTTTTTTATTTAACAAAAAAATAATCTTTAGTTTACGGCATTGAATATTTTCTACAACCACCAACAATTATTAAAAGCAAAAAGGACATCAAAATTGTTTATTTTTATTTAAATAAATTATTTAATTGTTCTTTTGAATATTGCTGGTTTGGAGAATATATATTCAACCCGGAGTTGATTAAATTATTATTTGGAAATTCTAAAAAATTTTATGCTCATCATTCCAGTCTGTCTTTTACGGATGACAATCTTGAAAATATATTTAAATTTGCTTCGAACCATTTACTTGGTGGAACTCTTTCAACCAATTTTCTTTTATCTAAAGACATGAAAAAATCTAAAGATATTTCATTTAAAATTTTAACAAGTGGAGGAGACAATTTTGAAGAAGTTTATTTGGGTTTGATAATTCTCCAGAAGGTTTAGAACAATATATAAATGTACAAATGATTTATGATTATATTGTTGAAGTAATTTATTTACAGAAAAATTAAAAATAAATTTAAATTTTTAGTATATAGCTACTTCTGGAGATTGTTCAAAAGTGGTGTCTGTTATTACTAGGGCTCGGATTTTTAGGTTATAACCTATTTTTTTGCGAAATAGTTATGATGAATTGAGCTCAAATCCGTTGTTATTTTTTGAATATCTTGCGTTTACGCGGACTTATTTTCACCTATTCCAACCTATTTTGGGGTTTTGCAACCTAAAATAGGTTGTAAACTATTTTGAAGTTTTTGTGATTTTTGTCACCTATTTTGACTGTTTTTCGTAAAAATTCGTTTTTTTACCAAAAATTTTTAGGATTTTTCGAAAAAATTTAAATTTTTTTAAAATTTTGTCTATTTTTCTTATCACCAAAAATTTTTTTCAATTTTTGGAAAAATATTTTTTTCAAAAATAAAAAAGATTTTCCTTAATTAATACTTTCCAGTGAAAATTTTAAAAAATGGGAATTTTTTTACCATTTTTACTATAAAAATAAAATTTTTGAATGGAAAATAAAAAATTTTCAACATTTTTGCTTTTTTTACCCCATATGTCGACCTTTTTTTGCAACCTATTTTCCATTTTTGTCACCTATTTTCGAGATTTGGTCACCTATTTTGGCACTTTTTACAACCTATTTAGGTACCTATTTTAAGGTTTTTACAACCTAAAAATCCGAGCCCTAGTTATTACCTTACACTATAATCTTTGTTTTCCATCACCTAAAATAAGCGAGAGAGCAACAAATATTAAAATTAAACAATTTGTGAATTCAACAACTACAACATATGAAATTGCCAATATTCATAGTCCAAAAGTGAGATTCTCCTTTTGCCATGAATTCTTTTATGTTGACATCAGAAAGATGAAGGAGTAGAATACAATTCTTATTATGTATACAATGAATGATTTTGATTTATTGAAGAAATAAATATTTTTTATATTTCTGTTTTTCTTTGCCTATTTCATTTAAATTTTTGTGGGTACTTTATTAATATCCCGCCCCCCACCCCTATTTGAGTCTCAGATTATTTTTCTTTTTTTTTTGCTGTCAATCATTTATTCCCCTCCTTTTTTAATGCCAATCATTTTCTTCCCTCGAATATTATAAGTAAAAGGCAAGTTAGAAACTTAAGATATTTGAGGAGTAAAGCCTAAAAAGGCGCGCAGCCATAACGGCGCAAAGCCATAACCTTCTGTAATATTTTTGGCCCTTGTCATTTTTGTTATCAATCTCTTTAGCTCGATGAAAGGAATCGTTTAATATTAATTTTTGTAAGGTTCGAAAACCATGAAGCAAGTTATGGCTTTGCGCCTTTATGGCCGCGCGCCCTTTTGGGTGTCTTATATTTGAGGGAAGAAAATGATTGACATTAAAAAAGGAGGAAAAATAAATGATTGGCAGTTAAAAAGGAAAATTAATCTGAGACTCAAATAGGGGTGGGGGCGGGATATTAATAAAGAACCTTTTTGTGTTTAATAAAATTTATTTGAATCAGATTTTTAGCTCAATTTATTTTTAAATATTTTCAATTAGATTTAAAGAATTGCTGACTGAAACGGGCGGACTGAAATGAACTGCTTAGAAAAAGAACCCCTATGAAGGGAAATCTGGATAATTGCGAATTAAAGAATCAATTTGTTGCTTTAAATCCGATTGAATAAAACCTGAGAAAGAATATTATATATTTTTAACTAAAATGTTTAAAAAAAGTTGAGCAACTGTTTAACTATTTAGATGATAAATAATCGATATGCTTGGATCAGCGAAAATGAACGTTCGATGAAGTTTAATGTGAATGTATTCCCTTCGTTGCGACTAGAGTTTCGTCTTGCTAAAAAAGTGTTAGATTATACATATTTCAGTCTGATAGATTTTTTTCTAATCTGGTTCCAATGTTTGTCTAATGTTCTTCCATTTTCCATTGCAAATTTTTTGTTTTTTTATGTAAATTTTAGCAATAAAATTCTGATTTTTCTCTATTTCTTAGATAATTAAAAATGTTTAATCTTCCAACTGAAACAAAACTTGATGTATTAAAATGTCTAGATTTTAGTCAATTACTCACTGTTAAACAAATCAATTTTTATTTCTACAATTTAATTAATAAATATGAGGGGGAATTGTGCTTTCGAATGAAATTCAAAAAACTTTCAATAGTAAATATTAGCTAAAAAATCTTTTTAATTGAATTTTAGCATGTTAAACTTCAAGAGTTAGACTCATATAGAATCGTTAAACTTGAACCTGGACTTGTTAAATATAATTTAAACTATCAACTTAAGAACCAGGTTAAAACTTAAATTTTGAGAAATTCTGAGTTTTTTTCATACAAAAAGGGAATAGTTTGTTTAGGCCAGGGCTTCGATATGTTTTTGCGGATTTTTCCTCATTTTATGGTTCTTTGATAAGTCAACAGGATTATTTAGTGGTCTTTTGAAGACAGGATGCTATATATTTTTCTTGTAAAATCCGTACGGCCTCGATAATCCTCAAAATTTTTGTCTGTGGCGCTAAAAATGTAACAAATCTTGCACCCTTGTGTTTTATAAGGATTTTTAAAAATGTGAGATCGAATCGCCGGTTTAGACCCCCCTTTTCCGTTTCCCTGATCATTTTGAGCCTTTTTGCTTGATCTATCATTTTACATAGCAGCTGGTTGAATGGCTGGGTTGAATGGTATTAAGATTACACAGATTCGGCAATTCTGCACAAAATTATAAGCTGGAAGAAATATTTTGCACCTGCAAGCAATTAAAATAAGCGGAGCAGATTTTTATTGAAATATATTTTTTCTGCAAATACATTTCGTCGAAAGAAATGTCCGGGCCCTAGTCTAAACCAAACTATTACCAAAAAGTTTAAAAGATTAAATTTTTAATTTGATTACAAATACTATTTCAGTGGCAGAATGCTTTAAAAAGATACATGCCTTTATTTCAATATGTTTCAAACGTCTTTTCTGATCACAGAACCCTTTCTGAATGTCGCAGAGACTGTTTTATTTGTGTTGAGAGAATGTTTAACTACTTGGTAGAAAACGAGCCTCGTTATTATATTCTGATACTGCCCACCTTTCCAAGAAAGGTGGAAGAATTGGTTAATATTCGTTACTATTTGGAACAAATTTTTAATTGTCTTTTTGAATATTCTTTGTTTGCTGAAGTTGTAATTAATCCAGAAATGATTAATTTATTATTTTCAACTGACGGAATTTATTATTTTCAACTTCCTCGATTACACGTTCAAAAACCAGAAATATTTCCTAATAGCGAAAATCTTACACTTGAAAATAGTTGGAATTTCGTTTCAAATCATTTAAAAATTCCTGAATGCCTTACCATTAATACAAAAAACATATATGGCGGATACATGGGGCGATGTTTATTCAATATTTTAGCAAAGGAGGGCTATAAATTACCGAAAATTTTTGTGAAAAATTTAAAGGAGAATTGGCTTTATGATGATATTGTTGAGGTATGTTATCTAATGAGAAAATATTCTTTCCGTAAGTGTGTAGACTAGGGATGTGTCGAAACAGATTTTAAAAAGCGAAAGTCAATAAAAAAAAATCGAAAGGCTGAAGGCGAAATTGCGAAATTTGAGTTAAAAGGCGAAAGACGGAAGCCGAAAGGGCCTAACTACAGTTTCCGGATCAGACTCAGAATTGGACGATTTATATGTCATTCGAAAGAGCTCGTCGAGCTGAGTCGAATGACATCAAAATCAACGAAATCAGACGTGATTGGACAAAAGCTTCGCTACGGTCGTGCTCGCTTCGCTCGCGGCGACCGTAGCGAAGCGGCGGCCGTCGTTCCGCTCGACATGCCCGGCTTCCTCCGCAGCGGCAAAAACTTTTTTCCGCGTAGACCTTGTGGGAAGGGGTAAAACAAACGGTCATAACTTTGTCCAATCACGTCTGATTTCGTTGATTTTGATGTCATTGGACTCAGCTCGAGGAGCTCTTTCGAATGAGTTATAATTTGCATATTCGAATTTTTCACCCCCAGAAAACAGCTTGGCCCCCCCTATGGTTTTTTGAACTTTAGGAGTCTGTAACTCGGCTCAGAATTTTTTCCGCCGAATAATTTTGGTGTCATTCGACTCAGCTCGACGAGCTCTTTCGAATGACATATAAATCGTCCAATTCTGATCCTGATACGGAAACTGTAGTTTAGCCGCCGAAAGTCCAAAAAAGGCGGAATTTTGGCTAAATTTCCAAATAAAAAGTACACTCCAAATTAAATTAGAAAATATTTATTCGTCCTCAAATCTTCTATATTTCTCTCCTAAATGAATCTTTTCTAATAATTTCTTGTTTTCACTGAGCAAAAAGTCTTCTATTTTTTGTGCCACAGGCGAAAATTTTGAGAATTTTGGAGTCCTTAAGCCATATTTCTTCCATTTTTCAAATCCAAAATGTCCAAAATGTTGATTTAAAAGTACTTAAAAAAGTACGAATCGGAACCCTGGTGTAGACACAACACTCCTTCCCCATTGCGGAATGAAGCATCCTTGATTGTTGCTTGATCTTTATAACTAAAAATTGGATTCTGACTTGGATCGTTTTATTAATATTTCCACCCACACTTATTTTAACAAAGCCAAGATTCTAACCATCTATCGAAATTTCTCCTTTAATGAAACCTTTCTTATAAACGAAATATTAAAGTTCAATCCAATTATGATTGATTAGAAAACTGATTTTTTGTAGAATAAATGTCTAACATTTACCATTATTTATAAATAAATTAAAATAAATTTTAAGTATATAACAAACACCGAATACTTCTTTTGGAGCATGGTGGCTATTATTTATCTACAATATTCATCACCTCCAAATTTTAAATTAAACGAACGAGCAGAAAATGTTGAAATTAATGAATTAAATGGAGTTAAATATACAAAATACGAACTTTCGAATATTTACAAACCAAAAATAAGATTCTCATTTTGCAATGAAGTAAGTGCTGATGGAGCGCGTTTTTTTGTTAAAATTAGAAAAATTAAGAAGTTGAAGTAGAGGAAATGATAGTTATTGATTTATTAGAGAAATATTTTTAAAAATTCGTTTTTTATTGAGTTTTTCGATTTTTTCTTTTATAAAATTACTTAGTAGGATAATACTAACAATTTATTCTTAAATATTTTTTGTCACATTTGAATTTCTAATCACAGATATTCTTTATCCGTTAATAAAAGATTTTAAATTATTTCAGCGGCACGAAAAACTTTTTTGAATAATAACAATTTTTTCTAAGAGAAAAAGCAGAGGATGGAGAGCTTTCCTCCACCAAGTGACCAACCAATTTAAAAAAGTTAAAGTTTTATCTATTTTTTGGCTATTATAAAAGTGTGTTAATAATTTAGTATAAAAGCTATTGTATTATGTTGTTCGGCGTTAGTTCTGTATTTTTAATTTTCTGTTATTCTATTTTGTTTTCGACAACATATTAAGCGCATTAGCCATATTCTTACTGTTTAGTTTATTATTTATTGTTAGTTACTGTTTTATCTCGTTTATTTTTTTGTTAGCATTAAGACTGGTGTTTAGTACCTAATAAACTCAAGATTTTTAAATAATTTTTAAACTTTTTTTTTAGTTCTTTATCTTTAAAAAATGCTTTGTTTACCAACCGAGACAATACTTGATGTTTTTAAATTCCTCAGCTATAATCAATTATGTTCAATCAAACAAACTAATTTTTATCTCCATGATTTTGTTAATTATTTTGAAGAAGAACTTGCTCGGGAGAAATTATATGAAATTTCTATTGTAATACTTTGTAATTTATTCAGTCTTTAAACATTTTTAAGGAAGATTTTGAGCAATACAAACAACATCCTCTTACTGAAGCTGAAAACCTTTACTTCTCTTTAAACGATGGGCAACTTGAAGAGATGGTAATTCCAAATATTTAAACGTTAAAATTTCCTTTTTTTTAGTGGAAAAATGGAATAGGAAATCCAATTGCTTTGTATTTGCCTAATCAAGATTCAAACAAAAATCTTGTTATTCGCTTAACTAAACGTAGAAGATTTTGTTTAATAAAATTTCTTCGAGTCCGCAGTACGGAATAAAAGATGAAACATTAATTTTTATTTAATAACTTGTTCGAGCTTTCCGTAAAGTTCTTCAATTCTCTTCTCATTTAAAAAAATTTTCAGTTTTCGACAGTGAATACGTTCTTTTACTTCAACTACCAACAATTATTAAAAGCAAAGAGGACATCAAAATTGTTTATAATTATTTGAATAAATTATTTAATTGTTCTTTTGAACGTGGAAACTTTAAAGAATTTTTATTCAATCCAGAATTGATTAAATTATTATTTGGAAATGCTAAAGCTCTTAAACGAATTTATATTAAAAAATGTTTGATGTCAATTACGAATCATAATATTGAAAATTTCTTTCAATTTTCTTTGGATCATTTGGAGTGTAAAACTCTTCGAAGTTATTTTCAAATACATGAGGACATTATGGAAAAATATAAAGATATTTTATTCAAAACTTTAATAAAAGGAGACAATTTTGGAAAAATTAAATTGGACTTTCACAGTCCTTCAAGCAGGTATGATCAATTTAGAATTGGAAAATTGCTATCGGATTATATTGTTGAGGTAGGTTATTACCTGGAAATTTAAAAATAAATTTAAATTTTAGTATGTAGCAAGAGTCAAACATTGTTCAAAGGTGGTGAATAATATTATTGTGGAATATTAGAGAATAAGAAGGCTTGTATTAACAAAAAACCAGAAAAAGTTGAAATTAAACAATTAAATGGAGTTAAATATACAAAATACCAATTGTGAATATTTATTTTCTATTTTCAATTGGAGGAGGCGAAATTAATTTAAGCTTGAAAATTTATTTTTATTAAATTAAAATTATTTTTTCTCCAGTATTTTTTTGTTAATGTTCACCTTATTTTATTTATATTTTTAATGATTTGTGAATATATAGTCTTCCATAATATTTGATTTTTTAATAAATATACCTATTCTATTTTGCAATAATTTAGATTATAATTAGAATAATGTAAGAGTAAAATCTGAGAGGATAAAATAAAAGTTTTTTTAGCAGGGAAAAAAATAGTAAAAAAAGTTTGTTCGTATTCATTGACTTTCGAATATATTATTTTTTATTAAATTTATTTTCATCACATTTTTAGTTGGTTAAAGCCAATTGTTTTAAATATTTTTAACATTTAAGGAAGGTTCGAAATAAACAAATTCTAAGCTCAGATTCGTCGATTACCTATATAAAATTATTTTCAGAAATAATTTTTAATTAAAAATAATTTTTATTCGCCCCAATTCTGCACCATTACCCTCGCGCCAAAACGGCTCAATCCCAGTAAATTCGGTTAAGGAAAATAATTGGGGGGACCGAAATTCAAAATTACTCAAAGTTTTTTTAAATGGTTATTTTTAAATTCAGTGCTTAAATAAATTTTCTTCAAAAAATGTTTTATTCTTTACCAACAGAAACAAAACTTGATATTTTTAAATTGTTCACCTATCAACAATTATGTTCAATCAAACAAACGAATTTGTATTTCTGTTATTTTATTTATAATTTTGAAGGAGAACTTGCTCGGGAGGAATTTTATAAAATAGATATTGTAATGCTTTTTAAATTAATTCATTAAAATTCGTTAAATAAGGACCATAAACATCGATTCGATGATCAAAGATTAATTAAACCCAAAGCTGGAAATTTTAAATTTTCATTGAATGATGAAGAAATTGAAGAGAAGGTAAATAAATGAATTTAGTTCAAAAATAAAAAATTATTTTCAGTGGAAGAATGGATTCGAAAACCCGATTGGTTTATATTTTCCTGGCCAAGATTCAAATAAAAATGTTTTTTACTTATGTAAGGGCCAAATTTTATTTGCTTTTTAAATTCATCCTTTAATAATTTCTGACCCGACATTTTTCTCAACCCGTCCTATCCCTGGTTTAATACCAGGACTGGACGCAGTTGTGGATTGCGGGTGCGTTTATAGGTGATTATCTCATCAAGCACTGATATCTCAATTAATCCATTTGCCATACACTAACTAATAAGAGGGATATAGGTGGACGGTTATCACGAGTACCAAAGGGTATGTAGAATATAGGAGGAATAAGGGATTTAAAGTGATCTAATGTGCGGATTTAATTGGTCTCTATTCAACCCCATAATCCTGTATATCCCTCCGATGATATCTTTTAAGAATACCCTTAATCCATTGAATCTCCTTATATCTTCAGATTAACCCTTATATTTCCATATTGCGGATTGTTTAACACTCTTTTATTTATTTTAAAAAATTCGGCTTTCGATTTTCGACGTTTTTTCTTACTGATTTTCGATTTCTGATTTTCGAAATTTTTCATAAAATTTCGATTTTCAATAATTTTGGATTTCTTTCGATTTCGAATTTCGAAGATTTTTTTATTTCGAAGCAGCTCTGGTCTATAGTATTAAAAAATGTTTTCAGATAAGTTTTCAACTCCATTTTACAACCATTCTTTTCGACTTAAACTGCCAACAATTATTAAAAGCAAAGAGGACATCAAAATAATTTATCATTATCTAAATAAATTATTTAATTGTTCTTTTGAATATGCTTCCTTTCAAAATTTTATATTAAATCAAGAATTAATTCAATTATTATTTGGAAATGCTAAAATTCCTAAACAATTATATATTCAAAAATGCGATATAATTATTAATGACTACGATAATGAAGATTTATTTCAATTTATTTTGAACCATTTAGCTTGTAAAATTCTTGGTTTTGGCCTTCTTTTATCCAAAGAAATGGGAAAATATAAAGATTATTTATTTAAAATTTTAACAAAAAGAGGAGATAATTTTAAAGAAATTAATTTGTTGTTTATTAATTCTAGAAGAAATTTGGATTCTGATATGATTGTTACATTTTATGATCAGATTGTCGAAGTAATTTAGTTCAAAGATAAAAATAAATTTATGTTTTTAGTGTATAGCAACATCTACAGATTGTTCAAAAATAGTGCCTGATATTACTATTGAGTTCTCCCATTCTACAAGTCTTAAATTAAGTGAAAAAGCAGAAAAAGTTGAAATTAAGCAATTAAATGGAGTTAAATATAAAAATTATCAAATTTCCAATATTCACAATTCAAAAGTTAGATTCTCATTTTGCAATGAAGAAAGGGACATTGACTTTTTGGTGCTTGACGTTAAAATCAAAATAATGAAAGAGTAGAATTTACAAGACGAAAATAAAGTTTTTAGTTTATAAATAAATAAATATCTTAAATATTTTTTTCATTGACTTTTCAATTAAATTATTTTGTTTTATATTTTTTACATTTATTTTTTCAGGTTAAAACTAGGAGTTGAACAAAACCAATTAAAAAACATAAACCGGATTTTTTTGCGAAAAAACCGGTATATGGGCCTCTAAAAACACGGTAAACCGTTATCCCGGTGTCCTACTGATAAATTATATTCGTAAATACTTCAAAGTTTATTCATTTTATCCTTAAATAAATAAACTTTTTTATTGTTGCAATTTTAAGCGACTAATTCAGAGTCCATTTTGCTGAATAAGTTTGATTTGATTGACTTTTCTGCTTACCTCTATTTTATATCTCTTTTTAGAGCGAACTGATGTTTCTCTTAACTAATAAACGCATAAATACTGACTGACCAGTGATCTGCTGCGGTCAAAGAAACGTACCATTCTCCACCCTATTCCCAAAGAAGCACATTTTTCTGCGTCTTTAGCACAAAAGAGATTGGTCAACAAACAGGCGCCTTGAACATATAGATCCAAGCAAATAAATAAGTCCCAATGGCTAATAAATAATATTGAAAATAATTTCATTGATTTTTTCGTCAAATCAATTCTTTATAGTTTTTGTATCATTTTTTGCTTGCTAAAGCCTGCTAATTTATTTTAAAATATTTCAAACATCATTTTAATTCTAAACATTTTTTAAATTTTAGTCCTTTATTAAAAAATGTTTTATTCTTTACCAATTGAGACGAAGCTTGATATTTTAAAATTTCTCAGTTATGAAGAATTATGGTCAGTCAATGAAACAAATTTATATTTTCGTGATTTTATAAGTAAATATGAAGATGAACTTGCTCAGGAGGAATTTTATAAAATTTCTTTTGTAACGTTTTTAACTTAGTATAACTAATTTAATTTTTAATAATTTTAGGATTGTGTCAACAAATTCGAGAAAGATCCTCGCCGTTTAATTAAACTCAAAACTAAAAATTTTGACTTCCCTGTGAATGAACAATTTGAAGAGATTGTAATATAATGAGATTTTTTAGAGATTTTCTTTTTTAGTGGAAACATGGACAAGAAAAGCTAATTCCTTTGTATTTACCTAATCAAAATTCAGACAGCAATATTGTCATTTGCTTATCTCAAGGCTATATTTTGTTTAATAAAAATTTTTAAGTCCGTATCAATCCGCAGCAGGAATTCAACCACGGATAACACTATCAATACATTTCGCCTCTACTATTTATGTTTAGATACGGAACGTCCCACTTGTGTACCGCCGTTTGTGTACCGCCTTTTGTGTACCTGGCCATTTGTGTACCGGCCGTTTGTGTACCGCCGGTTGTGTACCCACCCAAAGGGGGACGTTTGTGTACCCGCATTATTTTTAGGATTAGGAGGGATTAAAGGGGATATAGTTGCATTCAGAGTGATTAAGGGGGATAATTGAGAGATTTTGATTTGATATTGGGTCAATCCAAATTCTGGAAACGAATTACAGACCCCTAAAAATCCAAAAAAGGGGTCAGATTCGATTTTGGGTAAAAATTTTTTAATTGCAAATGATAGCTCATTCGAAAGGGATCGACGAGATGAGTTGAATGACACCAAAATCAAGTTGATTGAATGATTCTGAACAAATTTTGACCAACAGAATCTTCGCTGGAAAAACTTTTTGTGCTGCTATGGAGGGTAGGGGAAACTATCTAAATTACGAACGTAAAAACTCCTTCCTAATTTCCGGACTCCGGCAGAATTTACACGGATACGGGAGAAAATCAAAATGTGAAAAAAAAATAAAAAAATATTTTTTAAAAATTTTATCAAAAAAATTAAAAAAACCAAAGTCTAGCTTCAATTATTGTGGCCAAAGAAGGGCCTTTCTTTCGTTTTTTGTTCTCCTAAGTTCACCACCTTCGTTCCTTCAGAAACTGTGAACTTGAAAATCGCCAGTCAGAAACTGACGAAAATCAACTAAAAAATTTTAAAAATAAAAACGAAAAACAAAATAAAAATTCCAAACCTTTTCAAATTTCCCATCGTTGCAGCCGTGGGATGAAGTCCGACACGTGATGAGCAAAGTTTAGACCAACCTGAAATATAAAATCTAAAATTAAAAAATAAAAATTAAACTTTTACCTACACAAGATTCTCGTCCTCCCTCTCGTCCTCATTGAGAACATTCAGTGCTCGGATGGACTTGAGTGGATGCTCGGTCAACTAATTAACAAAATTAGTTGCAAACCCCAAAAGAAAAACAAAAAAATAAAAAAAAAACAATAAAAAAATCTAGGAAAATAATGCGGGTACACAAACGTCCCCCTTTGGGTGGGTACACAACCGGCGGTACACAAACGGCCGGTACACAAATGGCCAGGTACACAAACGGCGGTACACAAACGGCGGTACACAAGTGTCCCCTACCGGTTTAGATAAATAGTAGAGGCCCAAATTTGTAGTTGATAACCATCTGTGTATTTTTATATAAATTTTGTTCAGTCTATCCGAAAACAAATTTTTAAATTTACTTTTAACTTAAAAATTTTCCAGCTTACGACATTGAAGACCAATGTCTACTTCAACTACCAACAATTATTAAAAGCAAAGAGGACTTGAAAATTGTATATTATTATTTGGACAGATTATTTAATTGTTCTTTTGAAAAATGCCTCATTGAAGAATATCTTAGAATTTGCTGCTACGGAGTCCCCTACAATTTGTACTTTAGGCGATTTGTACTTAAGCAGCGTTGTTTTGTCTAATTCTCTTTCGCTCTCCGCATTTTAGTTGTTTCTTACTTTTTCCGATAAAACTACAATTTGTCGATTTTACATAATAAATTTTAGCAAAGTTTGGATTTTTCCTATATTTTCTTTTTTAGATTATTAAAATTAAAATGCTTTCTCTTCCAACTGAAGTTCAACTTGATGTATTAAAATATCTTAATTTCAACCAATTATTCTCTGTTAAACTAACTCATTTTTATTTTTGCAATTTAATCAATAAATATGAGGGAGAATTGGCACAAATTAAATTTTATCAAATTTCAATAGTAAATTAAACTTTTTTATTTAAATTAATTTTAGATTGAGCCCAAATCTCTTCGAACGTTAGATCCTTATAAATTCATTAAACCTGAATTCGGAAATTTTGAATTAACTTTAAGTGATCAACTTAAAGAGAAGGTTAATAAATTAATTTTTAATTAAATTAAATTTATTTTTTTCAGTGGCAAACAGCTATAGACAAATCAATTCCTTTGTTCTTGGATAAGGGATCAACTCAGTCCTTCTGGCGTACAACCTTCTGGGTTTCGACCTTCTGGGGTGGACCCTTGGATAAATCCATAGGCAAAATACTTGTTGGTTTAAAAACGACAGGTTTACAGATATAAAATAATAAATTTTGACATTAATTTTGTCAATTTTCTGAATAACGTAGACTAATACACTGTGGTGCAAAAGTTTATATACACTATGGAAAATTTTCTTTAATGTACCGTATCTCGAGAAGTCGAAGTATTATCGAGATAATTTTTTTCCGCCTAATAGTTTAAAAAGTGCTCTTTCTAATAAGCTTTAGTTTTAAAAATAACCCCCAGTACTTATTGAGATATACACCATTTCCCAAACTGCTTCAATTTTCTTCGGTGCAAAAGTTTATATACACTTTACAAAAATTGGAATTTTAGAAAAACAAATGGAAGGAAAAATACAAAAAAAAATTATGTGAACATTTTCATCAATACTGAGTATAAAATAAAAAAGAACGACGTCCGTAACTGTTTTCTTCATCCAGATCTCAAATCACAAAAATCAACGGGAAAACGGGGTACAGTACTTTAAAAATTATTTTAACCCCCCGGGTCTTATATAAAAATTTTCTTTTGAGCTCATTAGAAAGCCCATAAAATTTGCTACAAAATACCATTGGTCTCGTATTTGTAAAAAAATCTATATAGTATTTACGTGTGGGTTAATTACTGTGAAATTAAAAATAAGTAAAAATGTGGGTATTTTGGGAGGTTTTGACTAAAAATGATAAGTTATTAAATTCCTCGACCCCTATCTCCATGAATTTTTTATCGGAAAAATTGAGCCTGGGCTATCTTATAGTAAATTTTATGGGCTTTCTAATGAGCTCAAAAGAAAATTTTTATATAAGACCCGGGGGGTTAAAATAATTTTTAAAGTACTGTACCCCGTTTTCCCGTTGATTTTTGTGATTTGAGATCTGGATGAAGAAAACAGTTACGGACGTCGTTCTTTTTTATTTTATACTCAGTATTGATGAAAATGTTCACATAATTTTTTTTTGTATTTTTCCTTCCATTTGTTTTTCTAAAATTCCAATTTTTGTAAAGTGTATATAAACTTTTGCACCGAAGAAAATTGAAGCAGTTTGGGAAATGGTGTATATCTCAATAAGTACTGGGGGTTATTTTTAAAACTAAAGCTTATTAGAAAGAGCACTTTTTAAACTATTAGGCGGAAAAAAATTATCTCGATAATACTTCGACTTCTCGAGATACGGTACATTAAAGAAAATTTTCCATAGTGTATATAAACTTTTGCACCACAGTGTATTTTGAATCGGAAATTTCCTTCTCAATTAGCCAAATAATTTTTAATCATTCTTCTATTTAGAGGATGGAGGATCTACTTATATCTTAGAATTCTCAAACCTTCCAAAAAATATTCAAGAAATGGGTATTGCCCGTTGCTTGATGGAAATACTTTTTAATTGTGCTTTTGAACGTGCTCATTTTGACAAGACTGTATTTAATCCGGAAATGGTCGATATATTATTTGATAACGACAAAACGATTCCTCTTAAACTTAACATTAATCATTTATATCTATATGCTAGCAATAGAATATGCGAAAATTTGGTGGCCATTTTAGATAATTTAGCAATATCTGAATCTTTTTCGATCTATTTGAAAGATGTTGACATTCCAGAACAATATATATTTATTTTATTTGATATTCTAATAAATAAAGGCGATAAATTACATCACGTTAGTTTTATGTTTGAATGTGAATTGCCACAAATTTATGATCTTATTGTTGAAGTAAGTTATCCAGACTTTTTTAATTTATATTTAAATTTATAAATTCTTATATAAAAATAAATTTTAGTATATAGCAACATCTAGAGAGTGTTCAAAAATTGTGTCTTATATTTCTTTACATCATCCTGGAGGAACAAAATTTAAATTAAGTGAAAGAGCAGAAGAATTTAAAGTTAATGACTTTGGGGTTATAAAATATACAAATTACCAAATAGTCAATATTCACAATCCAAAGGAAATATTTTATTTCTATATTAATGAAACAAAACGTAAAGATATTGCTTCTAGTTTACGAATAAAAATGTATGGTTTCTAATTCATTTATCGGACAGTAAAATTAAAAACAAGATTGTTCTCATTTATTTTATGGCAATCCCAGAGAATTTTGGTCACTGCGGAATCTGAGCTCAGCTTCGTAATCAGCATATTTTTACTCTAAAAAATCCTTTTTCTTATTTTTAAGATTTTTTTCACAGGGACCCCAATTCTCCGGGATTGCCAATTTTTTCGATTAAATCGTTTTCTTTGTTTTTTAAAACAATTTTTGAAAAATTATTCTTTTATAAAATGAAAATTTTCCTTTTAGTCCGATAGATAGCCTTATTTACTTTTATCAATCAAATACTGTTTTTATCACCCTCATGAGTAATTCAGACTTTGTTTATTCATTTTTTCATAGATTCTAGCATTTGAAACGTTCAAAGATTGCTATTGTGACTGGTATTAGTTTAAATATTTTTCTTTTATCGATTTTAGCAAAAGAACGGGAATATCAAAAAAATGAATTCAATTATTTATTACAAAAATAAAAGCTTTATAATAAATATGTATAATTGCAATTGCTTCATTTTATTTAGAAAAATTGTGAACAACCAAGCTAAATTATCGATGGAAATTTATTTTGTTGTACGGAACTTTTTTCCTTAAAATCTACAAATTGTTTTTCCATCAAAGACTACAAATTTATCAACAGATAAAATTGAAAAAATTTTTTATCACAGATAATTGAACTTATACATTAAAGTTGTGGCCCTGGAAAGAGCCGTAATTTTGGTTTTTCCTCATTTCAACAATAAAACTGATTTTTCTTTTTTTTAATTATAAATTTTAGGGATACAACTCGGATTTATCTAAATAAATTAATCTTTATTTGATAATTAGAATGCTTTCTCTACCACTCGAAATTCAACTTTATATATTAAAATATCTTAATTTCGACGAATTATTTTCTGTTAAACAAACCAATTATTACTTTTACAGTTTAATTAATAAATATGAGGGGGAATTGGCACGAAGGAAATTCTATAAATTCTCAATAGTAAATACATATTTAGTATTAAATAACTTTTGTTCAATTTAAATTAATTTTGGGATGAACATAACTCTCTTGAAATGTCACATCCATATAAATCCATTAAACTTAAATCTGGAGTTTTTGAATTTACTTTAAATGATCAACTTAGAGAGAAGGTCAGTAAACGGTGTACGGAATTTTCCCTCTGGAAATTTCGTCTCCAAGACTTTTCAGAACTTTCGTCTCCAACATTTTCGGAATTTTCGTCTCCAGCGGAATATTCGTCACCAAGGAAATAAACGGAATTTTCGTCTCCGCAATTTTCGTTTCCGCTAGGAATTTTCGTCTCCAGAAAAAATGCTGTGGTCCGTCAACGGGGGACAATGTTCCGTCAACGGGGGACAATGTTCCGTCAACGGGGGAAGTTGCCCGTCAACGGGGATGTTGTTCCGTCAACGGGGGAAGTTGCCCGTCAACGGGGATGTTGTTCCGTCAACGGGGGAAGTTTTCCTCTGGAGACGAAAATTCCTAGCGGAGACGAAAGTTCCGTAAAGTCTTTGAGTCGAAAGTTCCAGAGACAAAATTCCGGCACCCCAGTAAACTAATTTTAAATTAAATTTCATTTATTTTTCAGTGGCAAGCAGCGTTAACAAAGCCAATTCCGTTATTTTTACATAATTTTGAACCAAGCAAAAAATTTATTAGTATTACTACAGGTTTAAAAATATTTTTTTAGATTCTCAAAAACCTCAATTTTATTATTTCTCCCAAATTTTCCCTTTCCCCTTTTTAAAAGAGAAGAGTCAAGTCATATATATTTCGGATGAACTTGGATATCTGATATACTAACTTCCTGATTTCCTGGCTATTAATAATTCTATTTTTATTTAGTGGACAGAAAAACACCTTATCTTCTAAATTTGCCAAAAATTCCAAAAAAAGTTAAAGAAATGGTTTATCTTCGAGGTTGTTTGGAGCAACTTTTTAAATGTTCTTTTGAATATGTTAATTTTTATAAGAGTATATTTAATCCAGAAATGATCAATATATTATTTGATAACGACAAAACAATTCCCCATCAATTTAACATTAATGATGCAACTTTATTTGCTAACAATGAAACATTTAAAAATGTTTTAAAATTTTCTTTAAATCATTTATCAATTTCTGAATCCCTTACCATCGATTTAAAGAATGTTGGCATTACAGAGCAACATACAAATATTTTATTCATTATTCTGATAAATAAAGGCAATAAATTACCAAAAATTAGTCTCGAAAGCCTCAAATTAACAAATCTTCATGATCTTATATCAGAAGTGAGTCGACTAAAAATGCGAACTTATATAACTAAATTTAAAGTTTAGTATATAACAACATCTAAAAATTGCTCAAAAATTGTGCCTGCCATTAATTTAAAGTTTTCTAATTTCACAAGTTTTGAATTAAGCAAAAGAGCAGAAAAAGTTGAAATTACTTATAAAAAATATTATTATGAAAAATATACAAAATACCAAATTGGCAATATTTACAATCCAAGAGTGAGATTTGCATTTTATATTGAAGAGTGTGATGGGCCAATTAATATTATAATCAGAAAAATGAAAGAGTAGAATCTGAGATGGCGAGAAAAAAAATTTCTTTTATTGGACTAGAAATATTTAAGAATCGGTTTTCATTGAATTTCGATTAATCTTTTATAAATTTATTTGCATCATTTTTTAATCAGGTCATGACTATTAATTTATTTTTGCGATTCCCTATTTTAGAAATTCTGTCATAAAATTTTCTTTTGATTTTTCTTTAAAAATACTTTTAGTTTAGAACGATAAAAAGTCAGCTCTCTAGTACCTATAAAACAATACATATATGTATAAGCTTTGATAAATAATCAAAATTATTTTTTATAAATTAATTCTAAAATATAGTAAAGTCCGTTCCAAAATAGGTTGAGTAACACATACATAGTTATTCAAATACAAAAATTGAGATAACTCTCAGAATAAACGTTACAAAAAATACAAATTAGATCCAAAAAATTCCCTTTCTTAAATAGTTTACATTTAAACATTTTCTTCGCTTTACTCTTTTTCAGCTTCTTTAACATCATTCTCATCTTTCTCATTTTTATCATCTAGAAGAAAATCGAAATCATTAATTTCCGAATTGCTATCATTTTCCCTTTAAAATTAATTTTTATTTTAATTAATATTTTATTTTTTCAACCAACTTTATATTTTCTTCGTTTACAAGTTCTAATTGAAGTTTATTTCCAAACCAATTATTAACTGAAAAATAAAGAATACTTAATAGTTACACAAATCATTTTTAATTTCACACCTTTATCAATAGAATCACAAATTTCTTTAGCCAAAACACATTCCTTTGATTTTGCTTCTTCATTCGAATTAGTACTGTTCAAACGAAAATATGCCAATAATTCAGTACATTTCTTTAATTTTAATGTTATTTAAATTAAATTTAAACTTATACTTCTTTAATTTTTTCACTTTCAGTTTTATTTATTAAATTAGTTTGTCGAAGCAACATTGCATATTTATATTCCCAATTTGAACATTTAATCTTCATTCTTCTATCAAATTCTTTTCCCAAATTTTCAATATCATTTTTGTGGTTTATTTTTAATTCTTCAATTTGTGCTGTGATATCCTATTAATTAATTAAAATATTTGGGTATTTTATTGAAAAAATTTTGTGGACAACTTAGTTAGTCCTTTTAAAATTAGTTTATTCTACCTTCTCCTCTGAAGTCTCCCCCATTTTTTGAAGCTCCTTCTTTAGAGTTTGAACCTTATCTTTATCATCTTTCTTTAAAGAAACATCATCTAGTAGCGATTCTTCAATAAATTTAAATGCAGCTAATATGGCTTCAACTCTATTCTTTTCTTCCTAAATTAAAATTAATTTTTATTAAAAAACAGCCAAATCTCGATAATCAAAACTCAGGGAAACTAAGAAAAAGTCGTTAAATTTAGAGAGAAATCTTAGTCAGCGACATTTGAAAAAGTTTCAATATTTCGAGATTATCAGTTAATAATAATTACTTTTCCAATTGTTGAGCTCTTTCTTAAATCAAGATTAAGTCGAATACTGTTACTTAAGCTCTAAAATTTAAAAATATTTTTGATTTCTCATAAAATTACTTGAAAAGTAAAACTTTCAATCATCCACTCATTATTATTGTTTTCATTATTATTTAAAGCTACATTATCTTTAAAGTTTAGTTGATTTAAAATTGGTGGTGTATTATTATTTTTTAGAGGATTGAAAAAAGTTTGTAGTTGTTGAAAGTCTGGAAAATATGTAGGCATCATTAAAGGTTGATATTTTTGTTGTTGCATGAGTGGAGGAACACTTTGATTTTGACCTAGATTTATATTAATTAATAAGAAATGATAGGTTGAATAAATTTTTAATGAGTTAAATTTTGAACTAATTCTCACTCAGCCCAAAAAAGATTAAGACCGTAATTACCAAAAAAACTAGAAATCAACAAAGGATTGTTAAAGGGATATTTACATATGTAGAAAGAAAAAGAAATTTAACAAAATTAAATTTAGGTAATTAATACCAATATTATTTGTTTTCCCATTTTGCTCCTTTTGCTGAGATTTTACTTTGGCATTTAACTTTATATCATCCAAAGAATTAGAGCATCTGGCCATTACTTGAAATTATTTGTATATTTAAATTTAAAAAACTAAAGAGAAAAATTAAAAACCATAAATTTATTCGATAAAAATTATTTATTTTAAAGAATGGGCTATATTTATTAATGTACTTTCGCTGCTATTTATTTACTAAAAATGTGGGGTAGTAGGAGGAACGGAAAACATTCTCATCGATTCAGGGGAATGTTTTATAGGAATATATTATTATTTTAAATATTTGCTCAAAGCCAAACTATAATTATGTCTAGGAATGGGCAAAGCGCTTCCATACTTTTCTAACGCTTCCATACTTTTTTCCACGACTGTATTTAAAATTAAAAAAATACATTGACAATAAAATAATTATTGATCAAAAATAATTTAAAAAAACATTCGATTACCACTAATTTTTTAAACATTTTTTTAAATTTTAAGATTTTTAGTGCCTTATTATCTTCAAAAAATGTTTTATTCATTTCCTACAGAAACAATACTTGATATTTTTAAATTTCTCACTTATCAACAATTATGTTCAATTCAAATAACAAATTTATATTTACGTGATTTTATTGATAATTTTAAAGGAAAACTTTCTAATGAGGCGTTAATTGGAATTTCTATCGTAACATTGTTTAATTAATATTTAAAAATTTTTTAATAAAGGATTATTTCGATAAATTCAAAGAACTTCCTCATAAATTAATCAGAACCGAAGCGGGAGATTTCGACTTTGCCATATTTGATGAACAATCTGCAGAAGTAAATAAACAACATAATGAAAAGGTTAAATATATCTATATTAGAAGACAAAATTTGCTTCCTTTTTAGTGGGATAATCGACATCAAAAACCGATTCCTTTGTATCTGTGTGATCAAAAATCAAACAGCAATAATATTGTCATTTGTTTATTTATAGGTTAATTTTTAAGATTCATAGGACCAGGGCTGTGCGCCAAAATTTTCGCGTGGCGCGCCAAACGCCAATTTTTCAAATTTTAAAAACACGCCAAACGCAAAACGCCAAAAATCGGCCAAAATTAACGCCAAAACGCCAAACGCCAGACGCCAAACGCCAAAATTTTTAGAGTCTATAAAGACTCAAAAACCTCTTTTCATCTCATTTTAGCGCCGCAGGCGAAATTTTTTTCATTTTCAAGATTCCTAGAAGCTAGAATTCATTTTTTTTAACGCCGGTTGCGAAAATTTTGAAGTTTTTGAAAATTTTTTGAATTAAGTAAGACCAGGAAGAGCAGGCCCTAGCCAATGGGGGAGAATTCCTATCTCCCAAATGAGGAAAAGGAAAAAATTTGGGTAGAACCCCGTGAGATTAAGGTGGATATGAAGACAAGAAGTGGGTAATAAGAATAACATAGGTCTTGAAGAGAGTAAATGGTTGATGATGGAAGTATTAGTTTTAGATAAGAGCTCCCTACTTTAAGCGCCGCAGGCTAAAATTTTGAAAATTTTGGAAGTCCAAGCAGTAGATTTCTTTATTTTTATGCGCGGCAGGCGAAAATTTTGAGAATTTTGAAAGACTGTAAACAGAAAAATTTCCTTTCTCGATCGTCCCTTCTACCAATTATTTTAAAAAATTCCCATCATTAGGGGTGTATATTTCTGGCGTTTGGCGCGCCAAAATCGGAAAATCACGCCAAACGCAAAACGCCAAAAATCGGCCAAAATTAACGCCAAAACGCAAAACGCCAGACGCCAAACGCCATGACGCACAGCCCTGCATAGGACCCTCAAGTAGATCCCTACACAGTCGCAAAGACAATTTCTCCTTTCACAGAAACTAAGACAGCGAACTGTGTTGACCCAATTTTTATTTAATAAGGGTGACCGGAAAGTTATTGGACACAATATTTATGACATAAATTTATTCGAATTAAAGATAATTAGATCAGATAAAGCTTAATCATTTTCATTTAAAAATGGATTTTTTGTAACGAAAACAAACGAAAAAAATAAATAATAAAAAAATTCAACGAAACATGAATAAAGTAACTCAATTTTCAAACAAAATCAAAGATCGGACTAGTTCTAGTGTAATTAGATCTAGCTCGACGAGCTCTTTCAATTTCATATATACACATCTAATGAAGATAGAGCTGTTTCTGAACAAAAAAATCGTAAATCGAAAACATTACACAAATATTTTAATGCTTATTAGGCAAAATTTAAGGTTTTTGTAAGGCCAAGAAGCCAGATTTTCACCTTATTTTCTCCACAAAGTCTAATTTCTCCACAAAGTCTAATTTTTGTAAAATTTAGAAAATTGATCTTCTTACCTAATATTTTTTTAAGGTTATATCTACAAAACACCTTACATTATACTAGAATTGCCAACAATTATTAGCAACAGAAATCACGTTAAAATTGTTTATTATTATTTAAATAGATTATTTAAATGCTCTATTAATACTGTCTACTTTAATCAATTTTTATTAAATCCAGAACTGATTCAATTATTATTTATAAATGCTAAAATTCCCAAACAATTTAATGCTAAGAAGACGTGGATAACGCCTTCTAAGGCTTGTAAATCTGAAAATTTCTTAAAATTTGTTTTGAATTATTTAATTAGCAAATATGTTGAAATAACTTTTCTTTCTGTAAATAATATCGAAGAATATTTTGATATTTTATTCAAAATTTTAATGAATGGGGGAGAAAAGTTTAAAGAAGTCAATTTTAGAAGTCGTCAAATGGCAGAACTTTTAGGTTTATAAATGTAAGTTTTATTGTATTTTGGTTTATCGATGCTGTCCAAAGTATATTAACATAAATTAATTAACTACCTATATTAATTTGTAATTTTTTTTGTATTTTAGCACACCAAAAGATTGCTCAAAAATGGTGGCTAAAATTCAATTCAATAATCTCTGGACTAATCCGTCATTTTTAATGAAGTTAAAAGGATTGGAAATAAATTTGTAAAAATGCATTAAATAAAAATACTTAATATTCAACAAAAATTCAGAAATTAAACTATATTTCATGTATGAGACAATTGAACAAATTTATTGTTAAATTCAGTAATAGTTCAGTTCGTACCCCCCCCCCCCCATGATTCCTTACTCAAATTATTTAAAAATGGTCAGTCAGTCTTAGATTATAGAACTCGTCGAGCTGAATGCGAGCTGAACATTTACCGAACAAGATTTGACAAAGTTATGACATAAAGTAATCCTTTTACGTTGGCGAGACGCCTGTGCAAAACCCTTCGCTTTATGCATGGTTTTTATCTGTATCTCGGCCAAAGTTAAGACCGGGGGTTGATTTTGGTGTCATTTGTCACAGCTCGACGAGTTCTATAGAGTAAGACTGACTACCATTTTTTAATACTTTTAGGAAGGAAAAAAGGGGGTATACGAACCAGGGCTGGGCGTAATGAAAAAATAAAAAGCGAAATGCAAAAATTTTCGCGCCAAAAAATGCGAAAGATGCGAAACGCGAAAGTGCGTAATAAGTCCAGCCCTGGTATTTTTATTAGCCCAGCACTGGTATTTTTAAAAATTTTTTTTCAAGTAAATCAAATGAAAATTTCCGTTTTTATCCTCTGTTTCTATTCTTGCATTTTTTTGATATGAATACGAGAGGTTCTTCCATTATTGCATTCTTCATTACAAAGTACAAATTTCACTTGTGGATTGTAAATATTGGCTATTTGGTAATTTGTATGTTTTTTGCCATCTACTTGCTTAACTTCAATTTTTTCTGCTCTTTCACTAAATTTAAAGCGCGAAGAAGCAGAAATAGGAAAATAAAAAATAATATGAGGTACCATTCTTGAACAATTTCTAGATGTTGTTATATACTAAAATTTAAATTTCTTTTTTAAATTAATTGAAAATTTGTAGATATGTACTTCCATGATAAGATCATAAAGTTTTGAAAATTTAGAACCATTTAAATAAATTTTTGATAATTTATTGCCGTATATTAGAATATTTAATAAAGTATTTGCATTTTCCTCTGTAAAGTCAAAAGGATAAAAACTGACGCAAAAGAATTTAGAAGTTGTTAAATGATTCGAAACGAATTTCAAATCATTTTCAAATATTTTATCGTTAACAATCATACGTAGTAATTGACAGTGAAACCGAAGAGGAATTGTTTTGTCGAATAAAATATTGATCATTTCTGTATTAAATACAGTGCTATATAAATTTATTCTTTCATAAACACACTTAAAAATGTGTTCTAACCAGCAACGAGCAATAATCATTTCTTCAATATTTCTTGGATAATTTGGCAGTTGTAGTAAAAGCCTTTTTGTTTTTATGTCCACTAAACAGAAAAAATAGGATTTAAAAATGATTATTTTAAATATATTTGTAAACCTTTAGAAATACAAACAAAGATTCTGTCACGCTTAAATTCATGCAAAAACAAAGGAATTGATCTGTCTATCGCTGCTTGCCACTATATAAATGAAATTAAATTAACATAAAATTATAAGTTTATAACTTTATTTTTAAGTTGATCATTTAAAGTTAATTCAAAAACTCCAGATTTAAGTTCAATAATGTCATACGAAATTAACCTTGGATTTTCATCAATCTAAAAAAATTGAAAGAAAATTAGTAGTTAATAAATATTACAAAAGAAAAAGTATTGAATTTCATTCTTGCCAATTCCCCCTCATATTTTTTAATTAAATTGTAAAAGTAAATATTTGTTAATTTAAAAGAGAATAATTGGTTGAAATTGAGACATTTTAATACATCAAGTTGAACCTCAGGTGGCAGAATAAACATTTTAATTATCTAAATAAAGCTATAGATATACCTTAGCCGGGGGCTAAAGTATCAGTAAATTTGATTAATTCAGTCTGGTCAGAACAGTCTATGAGATCTTTCTCCAACGCTTATACTTAACTATTACCTAACCACAAAATTAAAAAAATACTTTTTGAATTAAATTGTGAATAAAAATTAAAAATTCTAATTAATATATTTTTTTTTTCTCAATCTAATTTCCCAACCATACTCTTCACATTGGATTGACATAGTTTTTTTCAAATATTGTGGAGAAAGGACGCCTATCTTCTCAGTAAAAATGTCTGGGTCACAATGATGTAAATTCTCCTATATTAAACTTAAAAACAAGAATCATTTACTGATAAACTTGATTTATTTAACTTTACTTTTAAGTTCATAATCTACTCTTTCATTTGAAGTTGTGACTTATTGGGGGGTTTTAATAAATTTTTTTTATAAATATTATAGGTATTTCCAACACATTTTTAGCTGGTTAAATCCTGCCAATTTATTTTTAAATATTTTCAAAATATAAAAATTTATTTAATCTCCTAGTTGTTTCAAAAATGTTTTATTCTTTACCAACAGAAATAAAACTTGATATTTTTAAATTCCTCAGCTATAAAAAATTATGTTCAATTAAACAAACAAATTTGTATTTTTATGCTTTTGTTAATAATTTTGAAGGAGAACTTGCTAGGGAGAAATTATATTATATCTATATAGTAATTGGTTTTAATTAATCTAATTTTACGTAATTTTAGAATAATGTCGATCGATTCGAAAAAGAATTCCATAAATTAGTTAATCCTAAAACTATAGATTTTAATTTTCCATTGAATGAACAACTTGAAAAGAAGGTCAATTTAAAAAGCTATAAAATTCAAAATTTTCTTCCTTTTTAGTGGGAAAATGGATTAGAAATCCCAATTCCTTTGTATATGCCTAATCAAGATTTAGATAGCAACATTGTTGATTGCTTGTCTAAAGGTTAAATTTTGTTTAATAAAATTTTTGAGTTAACCTCAGTTTGCGAGTTTATAAAGATTTAATGCAGCCGTAGAATATCATGCCGTATAAATTCTCTTAGCCTCTAATATACAAAAGGGGAAATGCAAACATTGGCTGTAGTTTACTATACCGGAGTCTTAGTTTCGACACAAAACCCATATCATTCGATTCGTCTCGGCGAGTTGAGCCGAACGGTACCAGTCTTTTTTGCCGTAGATGCCTGTGGACCGAAAAATAGGTCCTCGAAAATCGAAAACCCAAAGGGGGTGTAAGCACGCCGCGCGAAGTGCGGCATTTTGCGGTTTTCGGTTAATAAATTTTGTTTGGACTAAAGCGTTTCCATTTTCTTTTAATTCAAAATTTTTAAGTTTGCATCAGCAAGTCCCATCCTATTATACTACAACTACCAACAATTATCAAAAGCAAAGAAGACTTAAAAATTGTTTATTATTATTTAAATAAATTATTTAATTGTTCATTTAACTATTGCTACTTCAAAAACTTTATATACAATCCAGAATTAATTCAATTATTATTTGGAAGAGTTCCTAAACAAATTTATTTTCGAGAATGCGAACTATTTATTAATGACTACAATATTGAAAATATATTTAAATTTACTTTAAATAATTTAATTAGCGAAACTCTCTATATTTATTTTCCCTTATCTAAAGAAATTATAGAGAAATCTAAAGATGATTTATTTAAATTTTTAATAAATGGAGGAGACAATTTTGAAGTAGTTCAGTTGATATTTAATAATTCTCCAGGAATTGTGGATGATATTACTATAAATGTACAGATACTTTATAATCGTATTATCGAAGTTTATTTATGCAAAATTTAAAAATAAATTCAAATTTAAGTATATAGCAACAACTAGAGATTATTCAAAAATGTTGCCTTTTATTCTTTTTATTTTCTCCAATTCCACAAGTCTTAAATTAAGTGAGCGGGCTGAAAAAGTTGAAATTAAACAATTTTATGGTACAAAATGTACAAAATACCAAATTGCAAATATTCACAATCCAAAAATGAGATTTTCATTTGTAATTGAAGAAGCAAACGATGGATCAACTTTTATTTTAAAATTAGAGGAAAGAAGGGATAGACTTTGAAAGACAAACGCATTTCCTAAACTATGTAGAGCCAAAATTTAATCAAAAAGTTTTTCGGAAAATCTTTCAAAAAATTTTTTACTAAAATATTAATCTAAAACCTACATATATTAAGTAAAATGTTAAAAATTTGATGAAAATAAAGGTACTTTCCTGTTATCGGCCCTCCATTTTTTCTTCCTTATTTCTCACTTACTTCTGTACAGAATGGTCAGATTTTCTTTCTTTCTCAAATTCACTCCGTTTCCCGGTGGCAACAAAGAAAAGATAATTTTTAGCAACGAACAGATTAATTTTTTATAAACATTCAAAATGAAAAAAGACAAAACATAAATTGTCAAAAGAGGAAGTTATCCCTATGACGTGGAAAGTTGTCCTGTGAATGTGGGAAATTGTTCTATTCTAACAATGGGGGAACAACTTCGGTTCGAACAACATCCCCCGCTCACGTAAGCAACATCCCTATAGTTGGAACAAGATCTCTCCATAGTTGGAGAAATAGTTTATAAAAAAATTAATCTGTTCTTTGCAAAAAATAATCTTTTCTTTGTTGCCACTGGGGAACGGAGTGAATTTGTGGAAGAAAAAATCTGACCATTCTGTACAGAAGTAGGCTGAGAAATAAGGAAGAAAAAATGGAGGGCCGATAACAGGAAAGTACCAAAATAAATTTAATAAAAAATAAATAAATTGAAGAATGTCAATGAAATTTAAAAAATTTTAAAATATTTAATATCAAATGAAATAAAAAATAAGACTACTCAGAAATTGACTTAAATTTATTGGAAATTTTGAAAAAAAAAAAAGATTTTGATTTCAAAAACTTTTTTTATGAAAAATCTTTCAAAAAAATCTTTTTTAAAAGAATTTCTTAAAAATTTTTTTTGCAAACATCTCCTTTATTATTTTAAATTGACAATTTCGTTATCCGAATCGACCATCTCCACTTCCCTTGTTATTCCGTTTTTGTCTAAATGAAATTCATATATTCCTTCATTCAGAAATGAATATATTTCTAAAACCCTTTCTCGATTTTTGCCGACGTATGAGTCATCATCATATACACCATCTCTCAGATTCTACTCTTTCATTTTTTTTATTATAATATTAATTGGCCCATCATCACACTCTTCAATATAAATGCAAATCTCACTCTTGGATTGTAAATATTGCCAATTTGGTATTTTGTATATTTTTCATAATAATATTTTTAATTATCAATTACAAAAAGTCCATCCATCACTATCTTCTTCATTGTGAAAGTCAAATTTAACTATTGGATCGTTAATATTGGAAATTTGGTATTTTGTATGTTTTTTCGTCTCTACTTGATTAATTTCAACATTTTCTGCTCTTTCACTTAATTTAAAAGGTGGCGAATCGGAAAAATAAAAAAGAATATCAGATACAATCTTTGAACAATCTTCCGATGTTGCTATATGCTGAAATTTAAATTTATTTTTTAACTTATACACATATTACTTCCGTAATAAGATCATAAAGCCTTGCTAGCTTATAACTTGTAAACTTAATTTTTGATATTTTATTGCCTTCATTAATTAACATATTGAATAAAATATTTGTATATTTTTCTGTGAAATCAACACCTCTAAAATCAAAAGTAAGTGATTCAGAAATTGATAAATGATTTGAAACGAAGTTCAAATCCTTTTCAAATATTTCATTGTAAGCAAGTAAACAAGCAGATTTTATGTTAAATTGAAGAGGAATTGTTTTGTCGTTATCAAATAATATTTTGATCATTTCTGGATTAAATACACTTCTAAAGAAATAGAGAGAACCAAAAGCACATTTAAATAGGCGTTCTAACCAGCAACGAGCAATAATCATTTCTTCGATATTTTTTGGATAGGTTGGCAATTTTAAACGATAAACAAGTTCTCGATTCACTCGATCTAGAAAATCTAGTTTTTAGTAAAAATCAGGTCTTGGTATGTATCTAAGAGGAAATAAAGGTGTTACGACAATTGCGGATACGCACGAGCGGATGCGACGATTGCGGATATGACAATTACAGACGACAGATGCGGACGACAATTCCTGATTTGACAATTGCGGATTAAAAATTTTTTTAAATGATCTTCGTCCGCAATCGTCACATCCGCAATTGTCGTACCCCCGAAATATAAAATGTTTTCACCCGAGGCGTCCAAAATTATTCGAGGTCCTCCTGAACATACAGTAATAGAAACAGTTGTAGTTACATTTCCAGAATTCTTTAAAAACAACGGAATTAACCTAGTTATCGCATTTAGCCACTAAAAATAAATGAAATTTAAATAATTAAAAATTAATTTAACCCTCTTTCTAAGTTGAGCATCTACAGTAAATTCAAAAACTCCTGATTGAGGTTCGATGGACTTATATGTGAATAACTGATGACGAAAAGCACAAGCAGAATCATGAAAAGCGTAATCAGCATCATCATCACGTTCATCCTAAAATTAATTTAAATAGAAAATGTTAATAGATTTACTATAGAGATTCGACCGAATTCCATTCGTGCCAATTCCCCCTCATATTTATTAATTAAATTTCGAAAATAAAAATTGGTTTGTTTGACAGAGAATAATTCGTTGAAATTAAGATATTTTAATATACGAAGGTGAACTTCAATTGGTAAGGAAAGCATTTTAATTATCTAAAAATGGAAATAAAAAACTAGAATAGGAAAAGTAAATGAGCAAAATGGCAAAACTTGACCTTTGTTCCATGCCTTTATTATATGAGTAATTAAGGGCGGGAAGTAAAAAAAGGTCAAATATGTACAAGTTTATGGGTTAAGAAAAGGTTAAATAACAAAATATAAAGAGGAATAAATTCAAATAATGTTCTGGGGAAATATTGTAAAATAATAAAAGGTTAAAATAAATTTAATTATTTTATGAGGGAATAATTTGAATAAATTGGGGGAGAACATTTAGAATAAATGAAAATAACAGGATCAGCCCAGAATATGGACATGCAAAATATCGTTGAACCTAAATATCGGAAGCATATGGTCTATAACAAATGTTCTATATTTTTTATTTATTCAAAGTAAAGTGTGTAAGTTTAAACACAAATTATCGGGAAGGTTCTACGAAAAGCATATAATCAAAACTAAATTTTTTAAATTCAATTATAAAACGAGGAAATAGTTCCAATTCTAATTGAAATTTTTATTTTTAATTTTTTATATCGTTAAAATAAATTTTTATTAAAATAAAATTTAAATAATATTCTAATCTGTTAATCGTTTTTGATAGAAAAATAATCTATAGAGCCTTTAAAAAACAGATAAATTAATGAAGCTAAATTTCGTTGTACAAAACTATCTTCTATAAAATAGTGAATTTAATCTTTAGTTTATTTTTGTTGGAAAAAGAATAATTTATTTCATTTTGTTCTGTGCTATTTTCCACATTTTTGCTTAAATCGATGAAATGAATATAAACATGTCAACTATATGAATCAGCCACCAATTTTGACATAAACAATCATTCAATGTTTAATCAATATCAATTAAGAACAATTTAAAAATAATTTGTTGTCCAACAAAATAAAAAAAAATTTGCATTTTTATCATTCTAAAATCTTTAATTTTTCATTCAATTCTTCAGTGCTAAATATTTTATTTTGTCAAATCCCAACAAAATATACTAAAAATAAAAAAAAAAGATTTATTCAAAAAAATAGCAAATTTAAAAGCCCCCACTAATCCCGCCAAATCCATTTTAATCCCTCTAAATCCCTTTAAATCCACCGATAAAAATTGTCTTGATTAAAATGGAGGTAATGATATTTTAGGATGGATCAACGATATTTAGGATGTTAATATTCTGGGTCAATCCGGTTATATTTATTCCAAATTTCCTCTCATTTATTCAAATTATTCTCTCCAAAATTTTTTAAAAATATCTTTTCCTTTATTATTTACAATATTTCCCCAAAACATTATTTGAATTTAGTCCTCTTTATATTTTGTTATTTAACATTTTCTTAACGTATAAAACAAACCTGTACATATTTGCCATTTATTTAGTTCCCGCCCTTTATTACTCATATGTATAATAAAAGCATCAAATAATGGTACAAATTCGCCTTTTGCTCATTTACTTTTTCTATTTTAGTTTTTATTTCCTTTTTTAGATAATTAAAAATGATTTCCCTATACATGAAATTCGACTTGATGTGTTAAAATTCTTAATTTTAGCAAATATTTTCTGTCAACGGACGAAGCTTTCACTCTCTCTATATCTTCACTCAGATTACCTCCATTTTAATCAAGACAATTTTTATCGGTGGATTTAAAGGGATTTAGAGGGATTAAAATGGATTTGGCGGGATTAGTGGGGATTTGGAGAGATTTAAGTTTTATATACGAAGTTTTGTTCATTCGAAGTTTTTGGCGGACGAAGGTTTGGTAAGACGAAATTTTATCAATCTAAGTTTTGTCTAGTCGAATTATGGCCCTGACACGCCTCGAAAACAATTCTTTATTTTTTCTTTTACCAACATTTCTTAACCTACATATAAATCAAACATGTAGTACATACATATTTATTTATTTTATTTTTATTTTTTATACGTTGTCTTAGACTTGTCTTTTTTTATAAATACATAAATAGTTTTACATATTATTTTTAGATCTTTTCCAAATTTTTCTATTGCTTTTTTACTCCTTATTTTTTAATTTTTTTAGATAATTAAAATGCTTTCTCTACGAGCTGAATTTCAACTTGATGTATTGAAATGTCTTAGTTTCAACCAATTATTTTCTTTTAAACAAACAAATCTTTATTTTCGAAATTTAATTAATAAATATGAGGGACAATTGGCACGAAAATCATTTGAGTATCTTGGAATAGTAAGTATTTGTTAAATTAATTAGTATATTCTTTTTAAATTATTCTAGATTAATACCGATCCATACTCTCATAAAATTATTTTACCTCAATTTGGAAAATTTGAATTTACATTAAATGATCAACTTTTGAAGAAGGTTGAATTAATTTTTAATTTAAATTTTATTTTTTCAGTGGCAAGAAGCGATTGACAAGTCAATTCCGTTGTTTTTATATTTAGAACAAGAAACAGAATTTGTTTTTGTTTCTGCAGGTTCAGAAATATTTTTTAGTGCCTCAAAAGCTTTAATTTTTTTATATATACCTAATTCTAAATTTTCTTTCTCTTTCATTTTATTTCAAGGAGGAGAGAAAGGCACATACCCTCTTGGATATGTCTTTGATATACTAAATCTTAATTTTAACTACATATAAAGTGTTTGGAATTTTGAAATTTACCCGTTCTCGTACTCTTACTTCACAATTTTTTCGCACTCCTACCAACACTATACATATTGGCCTCATACTTGAGAAATATGCTAAAAATTTAAAATTTTTTTATTTTTTGGTGTTAAAAATGTTTAGTTTAATTTTTTAATTTTGAAAGGCTTTGAAGCCATAAATGCTCCTATTTCTTTAATCTTTGAAGCGTTCTGCGAAAATATTGTCTTTCCATTTTCCTTCAAATATTTAATGAAAAAGTTCGAGTGTACTAGCCGATTTGCTTGCACTGTACATGTCGCTGAAAGAATGAGAGCTGGGTGCGGCGCGACGGTATGAACCGCACAGCTGTCGGGAGGTTGAATTAGACTGAATAAAGTGAAGAGGAGCTGAGCTAGTCGGGAGGTAGCTGAGCTGGAATATCCCGGGAATCCCTCAATCTTCTAAAATGTGATCCTCTCTAGTGGGCGAAAGGATGGAACCAAAGCTCTGTAGATTGGCGAGCTAATTGGATTGCGGCTCTTAAATGGACGAGCGGAAGGGATCACACGCTCTTTAGTGGACGAGCGGGATCAGACACGCCTTAGGACGGCGAATTAATAGGAATACCAAGCAAAAGAAAGAATAAACAAAAATAATATTTATTCCGGACCTCAAACTTAAACTTGGGTAATTAAACCATAAAATAAAATGAGTGAAAACACAAACTTAAGTTTGGCCAAGTAGTTTAAGAAAATTTAAATGAATTAAAGGCCAAAACCTAAGTTGGAAAAACTAAATAAAGCGCAGGTGGGGGAAAAATGTGAATAAACTAAGGAGAAAAAACACAGAGAGTAAATAGAGCTAAAAATAGCTATAAAACTTAAAAATAAATTAAATGATTGAATAAGCATAGGAGAAATGATCAGAAATGGGGTTAGCACAAAAGGGTGTGGCTAACAAAAGAGATATGGGCAACTGGTACAAACGATTAAATAATTAGACGGTGCAAAAGATCACCAATAAATTAATCAAAAATATTTAAATCAATTCTGGCAAACGTCGCTTCGGCGACACTGGGGCGCCGGCCACTAGCAGCGAGCATGCCATCATCTGAGTGCCCATTGTTGCAGCCAAGCATATTGATTCTCCAATGCATATTGAGTTCTCTGTGGGTTCTCCTTGTATTATACTCAGGCGGTAAATATTTTTCCCCTCGATTTTGGTTGCGAATAGAGAGTCGCATAGCTCGGATTGGAGTTTGAAATAAAGCGGAGAAGATTGCAATAATGAATTGGATTACAGCACACACGATTTTGACGTGTGGTAATGCTATAGATAAAAGTAGAAAGAATAGCAGTCCCGATCCTGATAAAGTTCCAGAATAGACGGGAGCATTCCGCTTTATTAAACAGTTGCCGGCGCAGCATAATTCTAAATTGGTGAATTCGCTGGGGCTGATTACTGTAACTCCAGTTTTAGTGAAAAGAAATTGACATTTTGGGCATGTCATATTAATTTGGGGCAATCCATTGCTGGACGCAAAACAGAAGATTAATAATGCAACGTATAGTAGGGCAGACACGAGTGCTCTCGATTTGTTCCTCGTTATCATTCGATGTCCGGCGTTAGTCTTTGGGTCCCGCACGGAAGTTTCTTGAGTTCCTTCGGTAGCGGTATCGACTTGAGGTGGGACAATAAACTCTTGTTCAGTTGGTTTTATTTCTAGAGGGTACACGCTATTGACTGGACGCGTGACAGTGTTGCCATTTTGCGGTTTTATTTTTACTCTCCTGGTTGCTCCAGGTTTCCCTCCTAATTTGACGATACGTCTCATGGGCCATAGAATCCTTGGGGTAGATTTTTCTTCTAGAATTCCTATTTCTTCAATCCTAGGGGCGGATTGGGTTCCCAGTCTCATTCCTTTATGGGCGGTTTGAGTCCTGGACTGAAGTAGAATAAGTCGAGCTAATGATGGACGCTCGACTTGTTGCACCTCTGGTTTGAGAGGAAGTAAACCATTCTGGGCGGTTTCTATTGGGTAGCGCTCAATCTCGTTTAGATTTTGCTGTTGCGCAATATTTATAAGCATAGAGCCAGCGGTTAGATAATCATTTGCTGAGAATGCGGAGTTTTCTCTACCAGTTGCTTGAGAAATAGAGAGAAGCTCCGGGCGGCGATTCTTTATAAGCAAAGAAGGTTCGCGGCCAGGTTTGATGAATTTAGATTTTAGAAAACGAAGAGCCCAAATGGTAGTTCGTATTTTATCCCATGAGTGAAATCTCCCTGTATTGATTAGGGTGTTGGTTATTTGAGACTCAGCGGTGGAGTCGGTTGTATTGAATATGAAAACTAATGCAGTGGGCCACCCAATTTCGGATTTCGAGTGCCAGCTGGGACCGTGCCAACAAAGATGGTTTAATTGGAGTTCTGGGGTAGATTTTCCCCTTGTCAGGTTGGTTAATGTCTCAATTTCCTTGGTGCAGTTTGCTATAAAGACCGGTTGGTGTTCCACATCTTGAAGCCAGCTAAGGGCAATGGTTGAGTCACACCAAATGAAGGTTTTATCTAGTTCCCGGTGTAATCCCCTTTGGATTAATTTGGTCGCTCTAAATCCCGTTAAAATTCTTAGTAGTTCTAATCCCGGTATAGTGAGTTTTGAGTTTGCTTTTAGTGGGCGCAAACGATTTTTGGAGAAAACCAAGGTGGTTAGCTTCTTTGGAAGGTGATGCCTAATGACGGCAGAGAGAATGTAAGGAGAGCTAATAATCCCAAAGGCGATTCCTTTGAATCGATCGACAGCTATGTTGGACGGCGAAAGAGGTTGGTCCAGGATTTTAAGCCATAAGAATTTACAGAATTCTCGATCAGATTCGATTGGTGAAATTTGATGACAGGCCTTTTCGATGTCGGCCAAAGCGGGGATATTGGTTTCCCGGAAGATGAGTAATTGGTTCATTAAATTGGCGAGTGAAACTGGTCCTCTAAAGAGTGATTGGTTGAGTGAGGGAAGTCCTTTTCGATGAGCGATTGCATCGGATGATAAGCGGAATTTCCCTTTATTTAATACTGCATGGTGTGGAAGGATGTAGTCCTGTGCGTCTGGGTTTTTCAATTACCCCCCGTTCAAGTTGGTCCTCTATTGCGTCATGGTATTCCTGGGCTATTATGGGCGCCCCTTCTATTCGGTTAGGTACTGAAGATAGGCATTCGGCAGCCATATCAAAATTAGAAGGTAATTCAGCTGGGGGTCCGGGAGTTCCTTTTGGTGATTTCCAAGGAAGTAACACTGTGTATCTCTCGCCCGGGTCCTGATTGATGGACTGTTTGACTAATCTATTGGCGATTTCGTCATAATTAGTTTCGGGATTGTTGGTACTCCCCATAGACTCTAGGTTCCAAAATTGCTCTATTTGGTTGCTCGCAGGCATTTCTTCCGGTGAGCTGTGCACGGCAGGAAGAGAAATGCAGGTTAACGAGGTAGGTGACATATAATGGGGTAATTCACCGCAGAGCATCGAACCAAATTGAGTTCTTATAATATGTAGATTTCTTCCTATTTTCCTGGATTCGAGGAAGAATCTCCAGAATTCTCTAACTCCTAGTAGAATTTCTGGTTCCCTATTTTTGACGGGAATATTTTTGAGGTCTCGGTGGTTAGTAGGGATCCGAGTTTCATCCCATTGAATACAAGGAAATGCAGGGACGATTTGAGGAATTGAGCAAAAGACAGCTTCTTCCCATCTCCCATTGGGCTTATGTAGCCTAATCTTGTGTCCAGTTGAGCGAAATTTGACTTTATCGGCGCCAAAAACGCGTACTGAGTGATTGGAGGTAGAAACCCTCGGTGGTCTTAAACGGTCGACCAAAGATTGAGAAATGTAGGAAGTTTGGGAGCCGGTGTCCCAGAGACCAACAGTAGTGTAGATTGGTCGATTATTCCCAGAGCTTAATTTTAGTTTGCAGGTCATTAAAAAGGTGTGAGGTTTTGACTCGGTGGCGGTCATAGCCATTCCTGGGTTGGCGGGAACACTTCGGTTTGTTCCGGGTAGATTTTCAGAATTCATTCGCGAATTTGAATAAACTTTAGCTGGTTGGTGAGTCAGACTATTAACCGGTGAAAGGTATTCATTCCCTCGAAAATAGTTATTTTGCTGGTTGGTTGGGTGACTAATCTTTCTTTTGTATTGCTCCCCTTTTTGGCGGGTGCAGGTAATAAAGTGGTGCTTGCCGCAGCATTTCCTACATCTTTTGGTCGATGTACACTGCCCGATTTGATGTCCCTCGCGAAGACAATTTAAACACCTGCGTTGAGCCAGCAAGCGGGTTTTGCGGCTTTCGGGTGTTGGGAATTTGTGGCAAACTGAAGGGAGGTGATCTCCAGTACAAAGTGAACATTGACCGACATTCCTTTCAATGGCGGTGAATGTGCGGGTAAAGTTGGCTGGCGGGGAATGTTCTGTCCGATGACTCTTTAGTTGGCGAGTCGGCTCAATGTCTTCCCTTTGACTGGACGGGACTTTAAATCTCTTTGTGCACATTTCCACTTCTTCTCTTATTGCCACTTGCTCTAATAGGAAATTCCTAAGTTCCTTATGTGTCCATTCCCCGGCTGGTGAACTTCGTTCCTTTTCTATTATTTTCTCAATAATGGTGGAGGGAAGTTTGGCCTTAATTGTGGTGACTAGTAGAGACGCGTCTTCTTTTGTGCTGAAATTACATTCTAATTGCCTGCAAATTCTTTCTATTGTGTCGCAAAAGGCGCGAAGTGAGTCAGCGGTGTCCTTTGTTGGTTGTAATTGGAGAAGCTCTGATTGGAGGGCCTCTTTAAGGTTGCGGGTGCTACCAAATCTCCCTTTCAAACATTCTACTATGATCGGGTAATTTTCGGCTATTCTCGGGTATCCCTGTATGGTTGATTCTGCTGATCCCTGGAGTGAGTTACATAAATGGTGGATTTTGAGTGCATCTGGTATGTTAGGGTTGTTATGGATGGCCAACTCAAAACATTGCCAAAAACTGGTCCATTTTTCAGGTTCCCCAGAAAATTTCGGTATTTCCATGGGAGCGATTTTGAAAGAGTCATAAGCTGGATTTCGCGGTAATTCTGGTTGGTAGGTCCGATGGGAAGGATGCGAGTGTCGGGATTGAATAGAAGCGCTCCGTGATCTGTTCCTTGACTGGAGATTGCCGGAAGTGCTATCCCTTTCGACTATTTCATCGATAGTGTCGATGATGACCTGGGCGTCGACGACCCATTCGGAAAAATGTTTGTAGCCCGTTAGGAGGGGGTCATCTGGTGCCGGGCGTTGGAAGTTTTCGTAAATCCTTTCTTCCGCCGGTAGGTTTTCCGGATCAATTTGTTTCATGAATCCCATCCATTCCCGGTTTAGATTATCAATTCTTACGGTATTACTGTACAACTGCTTCCGAAGAGTGTGGAGTCTTTGTAGCTGCTGTTCTTCTAACACCTCTTGCTGGGCGGTGATGATGTTGGTAGCTTCTTTGATGCTGGTTTTGAGTTGTCTGATGGCTGGGACGATCATTCGGCGGATTGGTCCCGAAGACATGATGGATGAAATAAAGTAGATTTGTTGAGTTGTGACGGTTGATTAGAAGAGTAGTGTATAATGTAGAGTTGTGATGGACGTGGAGTTCTGACGTTGAAGATCTAATTGGTTGATCTGTAGAACGTAGAACAGAAGATGTCGAATGAAGTGTCGACTGAAGTAGTTGAGTTGAGTAGGTGGCTGGAAGTCGCCTGGAGGGATGAAAAACAGAAGAAAAAATTTTAATTTTAATTAATTAGAAAATTTGATGAAGAAACTGAAGAGAAGAGGGTCCCGGGTCGTGGCACCATAAAGTTTGTCGCTGAAAGAATGAGAGCTGGGTGCGGCGCGACGGTATGAACCGCACAGCTGTCGGGAGGTTGAATTAGACTGAATAAAGTGAAGAGGAGCTGAGCTAGTCGGGAGGTAGCTGAGCTGGAATATCCCGGGAATCCCTCAATCTTCTAAAATGTGATCCTCTCTAGTGGGCGAAAGGATGGAACCAAAGCTCTGTAGATTGGCGAGCTAATTGGATTGCGGCTCTTAAATGGACGAGCGGAAGGGATCACACGCTCTTTAGTGGACGAGCGGGATCAGACACGCCTTAGGACGGCGAATTAATAGGAATACCAAGCAAAAGAAAGAATAAACAAAAATAATATTTATTCCGGACCTCAAACTTAAACTTGGGTAATTAAACCATAAAATAAAATGAGTGAAAACACAAACTTAAGTTTGGCCAAGTAGTTTAAGAAAATTTAAATGAATTAAAGGCCAAAACCTAAGTTGGAAAAACTAAATAAAGCGCAGGTGGGGGAAAAATGTGAATAAACTAAGGAGAAAAAACACAGAGAGTAAATAGAGCTAAAAATAGCTATAAAACTTAAAAATAAATTAAATGATTGAATAAGCATAGGAGAAATGATCAGAAATGGGGTTAGCACAAAAGGGTGTGGCTAACAAAAGAGATATGGGCAACTGGTACAAACGATTAAATAATTAGACGGTGCAAAAGATCACCAATAAATTAATCAAAAATATTTAAATCAATTCTGGCAAACGTCGCTTCGGCGACAGTACATGCCTATTTTATTTTCTCGTACTCGTACTTCGTACACGGGTACGAATACGAATTTTGAACAAGCTTCCAAACACTATTTATATGTTAGTTTACTAATATATTTTTTCTATTTAGAGGACTTTGATTATGAAGAATATTATCTTCTAAAATTCTCAAACTTTCAAAAAAATATTAACGACATTATTTTTGCACGATATTTCTTGGAACAACTTTTTAATTGCACTTTTGAATATGCTTTATTTTATGACATTATATTTAATCCAGAAATGATCAATATATTATTTGATAACGACAAAACAATTCCCCTTCAATTTAACGTTCAAGATGCACGTATATGGCCTAACAACGAATCATTTGAAACAGTTTTGAAATTTTATTTAAATCATTTATCAATTTCTGGGTCTTTTACTATCAATTTGGGAAATGTTGACATTACAGAACAACAAACAAATATTTTATTAAATATTTTAATTAATGAAGGCAATAAATTACCACAAATTGATTTTAAAGGTCTTAATATAACAAAGCTTTATGACCCTATTATAAACGTAAATTATTTAAAAATATTATGTTAAAAATAAGTTTTAATGATTTTAGTATATAACAACATCAAGGGACTGTCCAATAACGGTGCCGGTGATTCTTTTAAATTTTACTACTTCACTGCATTTTAAATTATGTGAAAAAGCGGGAAATGTTGAAGTTAAGAAATTAGGGAATGTAAGATATATAAATTACCAAATTGCCAATATTTACAATCCAAAAGTGAGATTTGCATTTTCTAATTCAGAAGATAATGATGGATTAACATTCGGCGTTAAAATCAGAAAAATGAAAGAGTAAAATTTGAGAGGATGAAAACTAATTAATTCTTTGGTTTATGTGACGCATTTTTCCTCTTTATTTTTCAAAACTTTTCAAGGAAAAATATAAAACATTAAAAAAACATATTTTTTCTTTTATAAAAAATTTTAATGACTTAAAGCCTGTTAATTTATTTTTTATATGTACATATTTGCTTGTTCAAAAATTCGGAGTATTTTCTTCTGAATTTTCTTTTATTAATTACCCCCGTTAATTATTTTTAATAAAGGAATATATCAGGGATTTGTATCTATCAAGCGGTTTCTCCGAGCAAATTTTCCTTCGAAATTATTAACAAAATCACGAAAATAAAAATTCGTTTGTTGTCTGAAAAACTTTTCTCGAATTTTCATTTTAATTTTTGAAAATTGAATCTGTTTTTATTTCTTTATCTTAATTTGAATGTAATGATTAGAAAAATGTTAATTTTAACATTTCACTTTCATTCTTCTCTCCAATTCTTCACAACTCTTTACTTCTCTCCTTCTTGTGTATTTTCTTCCTCTTTATTTAAATAATTATCAATTTTTTCCAAATCTTTTTTTATTTTCAAATCAACAACTAAATTAAATAAATCGTTGAGAATATCTAAAGGTATATCGTTTTGTGTTGGATTAGCTTTGCTAGGTGGAATAGAACGTCCATAAACATTAATTGTTATTGTTGAAATAAATAAAAATAAAATAAAAATATTTTTAATTTGCATTCTGTTAAATTAAAAATCTAAAAAAATAAAATAATTTTTTGATGATTTTTAAATAGTTTCAATAATGTAAGGCCAATAAAGTTTTTTAAAATCTAAAAGATAAAAATGAATGTCGGTGGTGGACGAGCTGCTAATAATCCTGCTTCGAAAGCTCAGAATTAATTTATATCCATTCCTTTGCTATTTTCTGGATAAGGTTGACTGACGGCAAAGGAATTAAGTTAAGGGAATTTCCTTTCTGATTTTTTTCATCAAGACTATTCGGGCCTTTTTAGGGCCGAATAATCCCTTTTTGACAGACGAGCCATTTTTGGGCAATAATTCTTTAAATAAATTTTAATAACTTTAATAAATTTTCAAAAAATATTTTAATTTAAATTAATTGTTTTTACTTTTTACTTTAACTTTTTATATACTCATCTTTTTAATTTTTTTGCAAATCCCAAAAAAATTTTTTTAATTCCAAAATTATATTTTATTTTTTTCTATTTTTGTCACTTAAAAAAATTTTATTGACAACCATATTAAATTTCAAATAATTTAGAGAAAATCATAGAAATATACCTCCACTTAATTTACCAACACTAAAACTAAAGTAACCGCAAACGTCATAAATACCCAAAATTAAAATTATTTATTTATATAACTGGCAAGAATTAATTCTAAAAATATTATTCTTAGAATTTTTTAAATAGGAAATTTATTAATTTATTTTTGCAAACACAAAAATTTAAAAATAAATTAATTCAAAGAAAATTTTGCTAAATTTTTAAAATTTTTGCTAAAAATTAAATTAATTTATATTTAATTTCTTGCTATTTTTTAAAAATTGTAAAACAAAAATCTTTTATTAATCAAATTATCAATAAAGAAACAATATTTATTTGAGAAAAATAAAAATTAATTAATCCAAATAAGCACTTATTTATTTTTATATAAAGGCAGACCTCAATTCTGCCCGAATTCTACTCTTTAATTTTTCTAATTCTAACACAAAAAGACAATTCATCAGTGCAAACTGCGAATCTAATTCTTGCATTGTGAATATTAGAAATTTGGAATTTTGTATATTTAAATCCATCTAACTGTTTAATTTCAACCATTTCTGCTTTGTTACTTATTTCAAATTTTGGAGGTGAAGAAAATTGTAAAAAAATATTATCCACCACTTTTGAGAGGTCTTTGGATGTTGTTATATGCTTAAATATATTTTAACATATTTGTAAATAAAGTTAAGTATTTATTTCGCATGCCTAAAATTCGAGACAGTTGATATTTATAAAGGACAGAAACATCCGAATAAGCTTAACTTATCAAGGAGAAGAAAAAAATTTCACATAGATAACTTACTTCAACAATAGCATTATATAACCATTTTACCCTAACATTTATTAACTTAATTTCTGGTAATTTACTTCCTTCAGTTGTTAAAATATTGAATAATTTACGCTCCGCGTATAGGGAATGGATGTTATTCACATTGATGATAAGACATTCAGAAGTTGTCAAATGATTTGAAACAAAATTTCAAATATTATCAAATCTTTCGTTGCCGCTAGGAAATAGATATGGGGTTTGAATGTTAAATTGAAGAGGAATTGCTTTATCGTTATAAAATAACAAATTGATCATTTCCGGATTAAACACAATTTCACCAAACAAGGCATATTCAAAAATACAATTAAAAAGTTGTTCCAAACAGTAACGAATAATTTTTCGTTCAAAATCTTTTGGGAAGGTTGGCAATTTTAAAATAAAATAACGAGGCTCATTGTCCAATAAATAGTCAAAGGTTCTCTTAATACAAATAAAACAGTCTCTGCGATAATTAGAAAATCTTCTGTGCTCAGAAAAGATTGCAGAATTATATAAAAATAAGGGATTGAATCTGTCTAAAGCTGTCGGCCACCGAAAAAACTGAAAAATTTTTGGATGCTAAAAGAACCATTTAATTTTTAACCTCGCTATTACGTTGACAATTTAAATTATATTTAACAAATCTAGATTCGGGTTCAATAACTTTATATGAATCCAAGTTTTGAATATCACCCTCCTGAAATTCAATTAAAAAGATTTTTTAGTTAATACATATTAACTATTGAGATCTGTTTAAATTTCATTCGAAAGCACAATTCTCCCTCATATTTATTAATTAAATTGTAAAAATAAAAATTTGTCAATTTAAAAGAAGTTAATTGATCAAAATTGAGACATTTTAATACATCGAGTTTTGTTTCGGTTGGAAGAGAAAACATTGTTAATTATCTAAAAAAAAATATAGATTTAAGATATTATTCCTAAAATGGGTATACAGTGGCGGAAATTTACTTAGGGAAAGGGTAAACTCCATGTAATTCCGTTCATTTTTATCCGATCTGGCAGATCTAAATTTTAAAAAATAGCTTAATTCCTATCTTAGTTGACATGTTTCAGCGTTTTTCAAAATTCTGATAATTTCGAAAACTTTTCGACCGGTCTAACAGGTACTACATTTTCGACTTTTCGGAGAAATTTTTTTGAAGTCTGTAAATTTTATATGTGATTCTCCCAAAGATTCTGAATACAATGCTAAAAACCGCATCCAAATCGGTCGAAATTCTATAGAGTTATGAATTTTTGAAAATCGAAAAAACACCCATTTTTGCCATTTTTTGTCGATTTTTTTGCAAAAATGGGTGTTTTTTCGATTTTCAAAAATTCATAACTCTATAGAATTTCGACCGATTTGGATGCGGTTTTTAGCATTGTATTCAGAATCTTTGGGAGAATCACATATAAAATTTACAGACTTCAAAAAAATTTCTCCGAAAAGTCGAAAATGTAGTACCTGTTAGACCGGTCGAAAAGTTTTCGAAATTATCAGAATTTTGAAAAACGCTGAAACATGTCAACTAAGATAGGAATTAAGCTATTTTTTAAAATTTAGATCTGCCAGATCGGATAAAAATGAACGGAATTACATGGAGTTTACCCTTTCCCTAAGTAAATTTCCGCCACTGTATGCTAAGTTTTAGGGTTCCATTTTTTATGTTTATTTTTCCCTTTTATTTATGCTTTATAAAGTGACTTTTGGGCCTTTTATAAAGTGACTTTGGGCCTTTTATAAAGTGATAGATTGGATGAATTACATTCATCCAGTCTGGTGACTCACGATAAATTCTCTCATCCTACGAGAAAATGGTCAGAATAAACACATTAAAAAGAAATAATATTTTTTATTATCAATAAATATTCAAAAAAATGAAAAAGCAAAAATAAAATGAAAAAATATAGAAAAGGGAACCTTAAAAACAGTATATCCGGAAATTAAAAAAATAATGGTCAAAAAAACAAATATAAAAATTAAAATGTGATTTAAAATATTTTTAAGTAAATTAGCTTCAACTTGCTAAAAATGATGAAATAAATTACGAAAAACAAAAAATAATCAAGAATTAATTACTGATCGTGTTAAAAATGTTGCAATTAAATTTTATAAACTTAAAAATTTTATCAAAAGTGAATTTAAAAAATTTTTAAACATTTTTTATTTCAATAAATAAAATTTCGTTTGCGTCCTTTCAAATTCTAGACATTCATTTTAGTGATATCGATGCCAGAAATTGATCCTTTCTTGTATTCAATCGTAAATGCAAATTTCATTCTTGGATCATACATATTAGCAATTTCGTATCTTGTAGATCTTTTATCAAAAACATCTAATTCCCCAATTTCAACATTTTCGGCTCTTTTACTGGTAATTTGAAATTTGGGAATCTCATATAATTTAACTCAATTTTAGCAATCATTTTTGAAAAGTCTTTTGTTGGTGTTATATACTAAAATTTAAATTTATTTTTGACTTATTGATACCTAGGGAACAGATTTATATAGACTATCAATCGAAAAATAGGACATATAATATTGAATAGAAATCATAAAATATGGACTGCAATATGGACTAAAATCCAAAATATGGATCAAATACATATGGACCGAAAAGGCTATGCAGTAGCAAGTTAATGTTCGAAATTTTAAAACCCAGTCCTGATACAGGATCCTGTAAATGCGATTTTACCGATCTCTAGCTGAAACTATGCTTATTGGACGCTTCAGAACCCAACTAGGCCAGGAAAAAATATGGAAATCCATATAAATCTGTTCCCTGTTTATAAAATTTACTTCTACAATGCACTCATAAAGCCTTGTTAACTTGCCACGTCTTAAACTTATTCGTGGAAATTTACCTCCTTCATTTATTAAAATATTGAATAAAATATTTATATATTGCTCT